ATTATCAGTCACGGAAAAATTATGGTACACAGCGCACCTCCTGCAACATATTTATAAGATATTTTATAAGAAAATATCCTGCGCAAAAAGAGAGATATGGGCGTCCAAATCAAATTGTGCGACAATACGACAAATCCAGACAGATCAATATTACCAATTCCTCCCGAAAAATTTCGAAAATTCACACTTCCCCCTCTAAGAAACTCGATTTCCGATCGCTCCTTTCAGATGAACGCGAAAATACGATCTTCACCTTCCATCTCCGCAGGTCTATCGTGAATTCTGATCGCCCACGCCGAATGAAACAGCCGCACGGCCAATTGCGCAATAGTTATCACAATATCAGAGAGCGCGGGCGGCAGCGGCAACTAAGACTAGCTCTCTCTCTCTCTCTCTCTCTCTCTCTCTCTCTCTCTCTCTCTCGCTCTCTCTCTCTCTCTCTCTCTCTCTCTCGCTCTCTCTCACTCTTCTACCACCAGTGGCATTGTGTTAACCCGCGTGTATCTTGCTTGCAGCGTGTAGGCCGACGGCGCGTTATATCGGCCGCGAGTTATGCAGCGCGGTAATTGCTCGCGACTCGGACTTATGCACAAGGACAGGGCGCGCCTCGGCGGTGTACACGCTAGCCGCACACGTCTAATGGCCTATCCGCCTAGACGAGAAGAGAAAAAGAGAGACAGAGAGGGAGGGAAGAAAGAGAGAGAGAGAGAGAGAGAGAGAGAAAAGGAGAGAAAAAGCGAGACACACCGATTCAGGAAACGGGGGAAAGAGGAGGCGGAGGCGAAATATTCCGCGAGACTCGCACGTTCGCTCGTTCGTTCATTTCACACACACACACACACACACACACATGTAATCGGACGCATGGCCGACAACCTGGCGTACGCATTCTTACCTGTTCGAGTCGCGATCAGCGGCGCACGCTTCATTCGCGACCGCCGTCGGGAACGCACCTCACCGTGGGCGCCTATTTTAGAAATTGCCCGCGCGGATTCCGTGACATTTTATTTCCTCCGGGGCGCAAGGTGTTGCTTGCGGCTTGCTCGGTAACGCTGCCGGCGCATTTCGGTCGCGCGCGCGATTCCGAGCCCGATTATTTCTGGACGAAAGTAAATGAGAGGCAGTCGCTTGTGCACGGCGAGCTACGGCGTGTATTATTGATGAAACGGGCTGTATAAACTGCCGGTTGTGCGTTTCCCGCGGAGTTTCGTGCGATTGACGTCGAGTTTACTTGGCGAACTTGTTTCCTTTCTTGCGTCGAGCGACGTTCGTTTCGGACGCGTCGCGAGCTGTTAGAACGTGTCGTGTCAAAATTCGACGCGATTCGACGCTTTCGCGAGGATTGGTCATGGATAACCTTATAGTTCGCTTGTCATCTTCGGCAAGGCGCGTCGAGGATAACCGTGTCCGTTATTGATGCGCTCATCAACGACTTCCGTTCTTACAGACATCGAGGTTGTGGTCGCCGCCGCGCTAAATGAAACCGTAGATCGAAATCGGGATTTTTATTTCGCTTATCTTCCTCGCGCGTTTCACCGGCAATCAAACATCCTGATGATGTTCGAGATTTCGGGGAATCTCGCGGATAAAGCCGTGCGTTGGCTCGCCGCCAATGCAAATGCACGCGCGGAAAAGACTACTTTCGATCGCGAATGGCGAATGCCTTTTTTACGGCGCGCGACTTCCGACCGTCTATTTCTGGAGGCAAGAGCGGCCGGAGTGTTTACGAAATCGCTAATAACGCGTCGCTGTAACGACCTGCATCGTAATAACAACATCGTAACTCGGTTCCAGCAAATTTTCCTAAAGTGAGCGCGCGAGTGCGCGCAGTAAGTCATGAAAATCAACTTGGAATGCAGAGATATGACAATGACGATTCGCTACTTCCAGGACTCGGAGTATCAGCCGCTGATCTCCGCACCCGTGTTTTTCAACTTCTATCTCTTCTATCTCTCTCGCAGAAGCCGCGACACGTTGATCACTTGAAACGTATACTGTCTTCCGTCGATTAAAAAACGCCGCGTTTGCGTTATTTGACACGGATGATATCCCGACCCGACTGACGATATCCGATACGTCGTGCGATCTGCCAAATCGATCTCCGCTTATCGCCGACGTCTGAAGCCGCCCTTCATCTCGCGCTCGCATGTAGCTTCAATTAATTAGTCAGCGGAGATTACCGTAACGGACGGGCAAGTCGAATCTCTGCCGTGGTGGGCGCAGGCCGTAATGGTCGGCCGTTTAGTAACTATACGACCGGCGGATGTGGGTCGCCGAGATTCCTCGTCGACGAGGCTTATCTCGGCAGCGGCTTCGCACATTGCTGTAATTTCGCTCGTTCCGCGCAACCGAGCCGAATTTGCACACGAGAACACATGTGGCTACTTACAGAAGTGTCATTGTGGGCATGCAAGTCGAACGTGATCTTCCTTCTCCCGGAGCGCGTCCGCTTTCCGGTGCGTGTCTTCGTTGCGATGTGAAATTGGCGCAGGGGAGAATTAAGGGAGAGGGAACGAGGTCAGAAACGAGGTTTTCATCTTTCGTCTTTCGACAAGCCGTCTGATTTGTCACGTTGTATCGTTTCCAGAGATATACGCGCCGGACTTTTGAATTTAGCGATTGTTCGCGCGAATAATTGTAGAGATGAGGCGCGAAGCTTCGTGAAGTACGATTATACATTCGTTGCATCGCGTAATGCTCGGTAGAGGAGTACACACACGCACGCACGCACGCACGCACACACACGTGCGTTAACGTAGATTGCGTAGTCATCACATATTACGCAGATAAATGGTCATCCAAGTCGCCTTCGTGTGTGAATCACGGAACTATCTCGCTTCGACGTGCCTTATTTCACGGACCCCCCCGACTAACCCTCGATAATGCTCATAAAGCAACGACTGGAATGACGTTTGATAATTGACGATAGCATTACAGGCACCGCGCTGACGATCGCGCATCGGTAAGGAGAGAGAAGCATTATCGCGAATACCTCGCGTTATTTATAGAGTTATTTATAGAGGTGAATCGGATTTCTCTCGCGAAATTGCGTCATTTTACTCAAAGCTGCAGTTGCTCTGCCCCTTTCGTTGTACAAGCGCAACGCGATTTGAGCGGACCTAAAAAGAAAATCGGAGCGTAGGAATTCTCCTGCGTTTCCCTGCCGACTTCATTAGCGACGTCACTTTTACCTCGTGCGAAAGTATAAAAAGAAAAATATGCATGATATGCAGATAAAAACATTTCTTTTGGACATCTGAATGATTTGCCTTCGTGTCGCTTCCGCGGGAATATCGTACGTTACATGCTGATGGACGTTGTAAGTAACGCTGAGATGATTCTCAGCGTTAATTACGCCGAGCAAAAAATTACGAACCCGCCTGCGAGTATTGGACTTGCCGGCGTACTGCTGCGTAAGTAAACGCGTATCGCGTTTAATGTAGCGTTCGCGGCGAAGCACGTCCTAATACGGCCTATTTACTGGCTGTAAACGCGAAATTGACGGGTCGCCGGTCGGACCGAACGATAATTCATGATTTATGATGCGTTATCGTTGGTACTCGTACATTACTCACAACGATCCAATCCTCGGAGTTATTCCACATAATTTTATTACCAATAACGCGCTTCGCGCGATTCCGTTACGTTATTACTATCTTGTTAAGAAGCGTATCAGAGGCGATGCAGAAGCGTTCAACTCGCGCGCTACTATTTTCACTGACTGACAATGACGGGGGAGAAAATAACCGAAATAAAGTGCCAAGTGACCGACTGCCGTTCGCACGTGTAGGATTTCATAATTCCCGAGTTAATGAAGTTAAACGACCCGCTAGTTTCTCGTAAACGGACAGCCGAAGCCTTTATATTTCCCTCGACGGAGCGGCCATTTCACTCGAGTTGTAATCATCACGAATCATCGCCGCGATAATCACCACGCAAACGCGATAGCGGATATCGCGGGGGGAAATTACGCGCGGTGAAACTTTGTTTTTTTCTACCGAGGAACGTCACTGACCGACGCCGCGATGCCGCGGACGCGCCGGTGTTTATATCAAGTAAATCAAAGAGTCGTAATTGCAACAGTAAATATGTCGCAACGCTCACTTGTTGTTGCCTCAACTCCGATTTTCTCCTCTGACTTGGTAAGAGACTTCGCACCTCGCGTACTCTCGCGAGCGAGAATTCTAATACGGTATAAGGCGCGAGATGAGCACGAATGCACGGGCGTCTCTCACGTGCGCGCTCGTTCGTCTCTTTAGCATGCTTTCTAGTCACCCGTGTATATATTTAGTGACACGACAGTCGCTCGGGCCGGTCGCTTTCGAAAGGTCAACATTGATCACCGTCCATAAGCGTCGTCCGCTGCGTTACCGCTACCGCTACTAATTTAAAAGTAAAGTGCTGTAAGTACAGGCAGTAAGAGAGACACCTACGGCTTAGTAGGCATATACCGAAAGCAAAGCAATGGCCGTTGTTCGTTGCGAGCGGATGCGCACGATCGTGTTAATAAAAGATTAGGCTTAGGTTTCTTCCTCGCGCGTCTACGACCGTCTGCTGTGAAGTGGCGGCGTTAAATTAACCCATTTCTTCCCAAGCGGACATTTTACTGTCAATTTACTTTTTGCCTAGAAAAAGTAGTTAACCCAAATTTATAATCCCAAAAATAACAATTGTGAAAAAGTATGGTATTTTGTCGTCAATTTCACTTTAAAATAATTGAAATAACATTATAAATATTAAAAACTAGCAGTATGTGTTGTCACGTTGCGCCACACATAATGTTGCGCTGGCGCAACGTTGGGAGTTCAAGAAATCATTCACTGCTGTGTCATAGGTCTAATATGTTCCAGAAAAAATATATCCATGTGTATTCCACGTATATATAGCATTCAGGAATATGCACATAAAAGTTGAACTAAATATATTTTAACACTTGAAATAAATTATTGAAAAATATTGAAAAAAACATGTTTTCATGTAATTTATTTTTTTTTTTCACGAAGTGTTAGACTAATTGTGAAATATAAACACATAGACAAGAGAGCTTGCGAATGCCTTTTAACGCATGCATGATGAGTTTTGTACAATAAGTTCATTTTGACTGTATTTCGTGAAGTTAAACTTCGTGTTGCGTATACGCAACATTGGGAAGAAATGGGTTAAAGAAGATAAGATGTAAAAGCGAGAAACACGTACGATATAAAATATGCCACGAAGCATAACGTTAATGAAGATGAGATTAAAACATGTCGCGTTGCGGAAAACTCACGCGGATTAACACAGAGGAGGAAGTGCTTTTTAATACACATTTTAATACATCACTTAAAATAGTAATCTTCGTAATGCGCTTTACGGAACGCGCGTTGAGTAACAGCAGCTCGTGTTCGCGCGGATATCGTAACGAACAGGAAAATTCATGCAGAACGCACGAGCGACGCGCTTACTTCATTCAGCAGTTGCATTTGCATTTACAATGACGCTATCAGGCATGCATGCCGCAATTATATAATAATAACCCGCAAGATATAACGCGGGGAGAATTCTCAGCCGAGTAGCTATCGCGACACGGCGTTGTCAAGCGCGGTGAAAGTAAAGTACTTCCTCCGCTTTTGCAACTTCAGCGTTCCAGTGTCCTTTATGCTTTCACGATCTCTCTCTCTCTCTCTCTCTCTCTCTCTCTCTCTCTCTCTCTCTCTCTCTCGAGAAGGCCGATTCGCATTCGCCGGGAATGTACATTGTTGCATGCTCGAAAAGGAAGAAGAAACTTTCATTTCTACGCACAATCGCGGCAGATTTGAATTCACCTTCGGGAGGACGCGCGGTCGCGTGATCAGCGAGGCAGCTTCTGGGAAACTCCATCGGCGAGATACGGCGTTGTTTGATCGATGCCTGGTCGTGGTCTCGGAGAGCGTTGCTGCACCATGTCGTCGCCTCGGCGCGAGAAATCATGTCGGCGAAAGGGGTTAAGTGCCGGCGGTCGGGTTGGACGTTGCTCGACGAAAATATCGAGAATGTGGAGCGCGTGAGCCTCGTTCCCGAGGCTCAACGAGAACTGGGTTGCACGGTCGGCGAGCGCGTGTTCCTGGAATATCCTTGGGCCTTCGTGCCGCGAGAGGCCGTCTCGAGGCTAGCCAAGACGCCGGGCTCGTCGCTGGAGCCGCATCGGAAGAAGATTGAGGCTTACGCCGGCGATACATTCCTCGTGGGCTATTCATCCGCTCAACTGATCGCCCATGACTTCGTGATCTGCCTGACGGAGGACGCGAGGTCAGCGATAGTAAAACGGAATGCTGACGTCAGCAAGCGGATTCGAGGCGAGGTCGCGCGGAAGGTCAGGAAGACCGGCGAACTTTGGAAGTCCCTCGGAAGCGAGAGCGACTTGGACGACAGTCTGGTGCGAAGCACGAGGGATTCCTTCGAAGTGCAAGTGTGCCTTCCGGTCAGCTCCTTGGGCTCAGCTCGGGAGCTCTCGGACAGGAGATCCGAAGACTCCAGGGACAGTTACGTGGAGCTGCTTTGCTATGAGAACTTGGAGAACATCGAGAAGAAGCGGGTCTCCAAGATGATCCAGACGCACTTGGAACCTCGAGACCTCGAGGTGCAGACCTACCCCGGCAATCCGAAGAATGCCTGGACTCAATACGTCTACGAGGACACGACAGGCGGTCTCTTCCAACAGAACGCTGACCACAGTGAGTCAGAGGAAGAGGAGAAAGAGCCGACCGAAGAGAAGTCGGAGAGAGAGGTCGAAGAGAAGAGAGAGCCCGAGAGCTCCAGGGAGGTGTCGGAGATCGCGGATGAACAGCAGAAGCCTGAGAAGGCGGAGAGAGGGCCGCTGGAGCTGTTCCTGGAGGATCGAGCACCGGAGATGATCGACGCGGTGTGCTACAATACAGTCGTAAACCTGCACGTGGACGATATCGAGGCGCTCGCGCGGCGGCAGTTGGAAATAGCCCGGGATGAGATCAGCGGCTATGTGGAACGATTCTCCCTCGTCGACCTGCACTTCGCAGCCGGCAAGGTTATCTCCGACGCTTCCTGGCACCCAAGCCTGCTCGATTGCGTGGCCGTCTCTTATGTTACCGCATCGTTGCCGTCGTTGCTGTCCTCGTCATCGTCATCGTCGTCGTCGTCGTCGTTCGATGTTACCCGATCTTCGTGGCGAGACACGATGGCGGATGGCGCGTTGTCAAGAGCCTCGCAGCCGTCGGTGTTGTTGTGGTCCCTCAGCGACTCTCTGCGACCTCGGCTCGCGTTGCGCTGCCACGGGGATATTTATTGCGTGTCCTTCTGCCCGACTAACGGCGACTTCATAATCGGCGGCTCCGCGACGGGCCAAGTGGTCGTTTGGAACATACACGGCCAGCTGAAGGATCGAGAGAAGGTTGACGGGAACGTCGACATTGAGACGGCGTTAGACGCGTCCATAGCGTCCGATCAGGGTCATGAACTGCTGGTCCGTAGCATACAATGGCTGCCCGACAACTGCAGAATCGAGCCGTCCGGCAGGCTGACGAGACTGTCCAGCAGTTCAAGCTGCCAGTTCGTCACGGTCGCTGAGGATGGCATCGTCGCCGTTTGGGACCTCCTCAGGTACTCCATCACCTGTCAGCTGAAACCGAGCGACTTCAAGGGTCTCGATCACAATTTCCGACCAATCTATCGCTTGGACGTCCGATCCTTCAAGGACTCGCCCTTCACACCTCTTCACCTGTGCCTCCCGTCCGACAACGTTCTCCGAGAGGACGAGAAGCGCCAATACGACCGTAGCGAATCGGAAGCTACGGACATGGAATACATGAGGAGACTATGGATCGCCACAGCGCAGGGGGATCTCGTCTGTTGCACTTGGGAAGGCCAGGTGTTCGACGTGGAAACGTCCGGCTTAGAGGAGTGCAAGCTCCTCGCTCGCTCTTCCGCGCATGACGGTCCCGTTACGGCGATTCTACGATCGCCGCACCTTCGCGACATGCTCCTCACGATAGGCGGTCATATCTTCGCCATTTGGCAAGATGGCTACTTGGAGCTGCCACTCTTCAGACGGAGGTCCAGCCGCGTGTACACCGCGTGTTGCTGGAGCAATCGGCCCGGGGTCTTCCTTATGGGCACTAATCGCGGTGACTTGGAGGTCTGGGATATCAGGAGGAGGCCGAACGAGCCAGTGCTTAGGCAGACCATTTCCAGACGGCCGATAACTCTCTTGTCACTGCGGGCATCGTGCGACGACGGCCTCAGGTTGATCGGGGCGGGTGATTGTAACAGTGGCTTTCGCGTCTTCATGGAACCAACAGAGTCTGAGGACGACACGGTCGAGAGACTGGACTGGTTCGAAGAGTACGTGTGGAGGGAGACGAGGAGGAAGAAGATGTTTTCGTCGTGGCAGGAGGACTTCCTGCGGAACGACGTGAAAGCTACTGCCAGAAGGCAAGCGAGAGCGGATGAAGAGCGCAGGATAAGACTCGAAACGGCGAGGCTGCAGCTTCATAGGCAACACGAGGAACGTTTGAGGTTGGAGGCCGAGGAAAAATTGCGCAGGATGCCGAAGTCTAAGGATAGCGTGTGGAAGATGCGTCAGCAGGCAAGGATGAAGGAGGTTCTGCTGAAGAAGAAGAGATTCGCACCGCGGGAATTGGAAGAGAAGAGATTACCGTTGGTTCGTCTGGCCGAAGAGAGGAGTATAAAGATGATCAAGGCCAAGAACGAAGCTGCGCTTCGGGATAAATATTTCGACAACTTTGTGTCCCTCGAGTTCGCCGAATATTACGACCTGAGAGAGAAAGGCGAGAGCTCGGACGAGCAGCGGGAAACGATTAAGAGCAAGGAGATGATCGATATATACTTGCAAGAGTTTCGCAAGATCGAAGAAGAGGCACGAAGGGTATTGGAGGAGCAGCCGTATGTCCCGAAATTTAATCGGAGCATCTGTATAAAGAAAGGCAAAGAAATGCTGTGAGCTACGTATTCCTCGTAGATGTTAGTACGAAGATCGACTAGTTTCCTCGGTAAAAGAGGTTAGACATTAAAGCTTCGTGCAACGGCAATTTGACTTGTTTATACGCGAATTGATAAGATAAGATAGCTCCAGAGTGTACAGAGAAATGCTCAGATGGAAACTTGTGAGTCACAATTGCAATCGATATCGATACGTTGAAGTCGTGAATCTGATAAATGTTCTTAAATTTTAAGAACATTTGTTATGCAAAGCTGGCATTCGAAGAGCACGGGGAAAATAACATGTGAGAGGAAAATTGATTTGAATCCAAGAACAGCTCCTTACATTTTCAACACTTTCTTTGCATTACATATATTTTGTTCTCATTGGGAAACCTTGATTGCAAAATCTTACAAACGACCATTGTGGATACCATTTGACCATTGCTTGACAAATAAAGAGCTACTTAACTCTTACAATATTAAAGCTAAAGGATTAATTGCTACAACAATATATAGCATTACATTACATTCGACAGTCTCATCAAATTACAGTCCAGTGATGAAAATGTTTTTTAGAGATATTCAGATTGTTTTAGGAAAGGAGATACAGTCTTTGGAGTCTCTGCTATTTGCCAAACACCGAATGAATACTCGGCAGTCACTATTCATACTCAACCCAATAAGAACAAACTTTTGTATGTTCCGTTGATTCAATATTTCAACATAGGCTACTTTTTTCGGTGGAACAACTTCAAGTATATCTCTCATAGCATGATCTGATGTTTTCTTGTTTAATCCAAACTTTCAAATAACAGCAAAACCATCTTTGCGGCACATCCACATGTCTATGTAACCATATCTCTCCGGCTCACCATCCTTCGTAATTGTGAAATATTTCTCAACAACACATTCCTTGAATCCAGCTTTGATCATGACACAGAACATAAGATACTGTAATGAACGTTCTACCACATCCGACAATAATTTGAATCTTTCAAAAAGCTTTACCAAACATTCGTAGAAATCATTCAACAGTGTTTCATATCTCTCGTCACCTATATGTATATCTGCAGGCATTGTGCTAAAAATTGATGCACATTTCTCCATCGCTGTTTCACTAAAACCATAAATCGTGACATAGAAGTGTGTTAACATATTGTTATATGCATCGTGAATTTCTTCATTAGGAATTTTTACAATAACTTCTTTCCTAATTCTGAAAGGTTCCTCATTATCTCTAGGACTACAATTAGGATTGTGAGAAAGATACCCTTGTTCAAGGAAAAATGTAAATATTATTTTTGGATCAGGCACATTAATATCTAAAAGCTGACCTGCCCGTATCAACTGAAATAAGTTAGCAAGGTCGGTTGCATCTACTTTGTTAAGGGGCTGGAATTTTTTGGATCCACCTCCCATTAAAACAAGCATGTCTTCCTGAATAGAAGAATGTTTGAGAATACCAGCCACTCCACGACTTAAAGGGGAGCCATCCCAAAAATCTAAACTTTCATCAGATTGGTTCAAGTAGTGCCGCACATAGTGAAGGACAGACCACAAACAACATACACGTGTATTCTGATGATAATAGCCATTGTAGAATTGGAATATGTTGTCTCGTACTTGATCTCTCTCCTTTTCAGGAATGACATTATTAAGAAGCAACATCAACTCATTATCTTCGAGTCCATAATAGTCAACAAACCGGCTATTTTGTAAGAATTTGTAAGCAGGTATGTTATTGAGGTATGTAGAAACGTCAGCACTTACTAAGTATGAGACTCCAGTGCATAATGCTCCTAACAGATGGTCTTTAGCTATTGGTCCGTTCATAACGGCACCCAGAAATTTCATAACCATATTACCAATCTTCTCTACTTCATCTTCCATTTTACCTGCCAGCAATGCGTCTATTGTAGGAGCATCAAACTCATCAACTAATAGATATACTTTTCTCCCATAGTAAGCATTCAAATATTTAATCAGGCTTTGTAAGCCTCTTTTTGTATTCAATTTGTATAAGCCTCTTTCATCCTTCTGTTTGTATTCTTCTTCATCACACCATTGTTTACAATGTTGTTGAGCTTCCTTATTTCTCTGTAGACAGTCAAATATGGAGGGGCTCACAGTCAAATACGAATGATCAAGATATAACTCGTGCACAACCTCTCTTAAACAATCTGCTACTATATCTGGAGAGTCTATTTCAAAATCCTTGAAGTTCAGATATAGGACCGGGTGTCAAAATGTTCTCTGATAAGATTTACTTCATTCAAGATTTTACATTTTTCCGAATACCTTTCTCCATTTTCCCCAATTCTGCAGAAAGCTCTGTAGTTTTTATATCCTTCTAATTCTTTCGAATTTTATGGCGGATGCTTGATGTCCCGACCTTTTTCAATTTCAAAGAAACGCTGAACCATATTCATGTTCAAGGACTTTCCGAATCTTTTAGGTGCAAAAATGAGTACAAGACGTGGGACTTTTAATAATTCTGCTATCAGCATGGACTTATCAACAAACCCACTCCATTTCACTGCTTCTATAAAGTTCTCCTCATTTTCATTAAATATAATTTGTGGATCTTTAATCTATAATAGAAAAAATATTTTAGGAATCATGAGAGAAAAAATGGTTTGAAATAAACACAGAATGTTCAGAATTAAACTTACTGAATTGAGAGTTCGAGTAGCATTATTTGTTTGGCCACTTGAGCCAACTCTTCTTCTTTTTTGGTCCACTTCTTGATCAATTTGCACTTGCATATCGCAAGAACTTCTTATAGACATTTCTTGTGCCAGAAGAAAAAAAATAATCAATTACCTAATGAATATAGAATGATTTTGACAAATGCCATGATTATACTTATTTGAGTGGAGGCAAAGCTCGATAAGGCAATTACTTCAGGACCTATCTTTCGACGCTTATTCTGGCTGCGTTCCGATTCACTGCCAATACTGAAAATATACACTTTATGTCACATATATTATAGATTTTCAGTACTGGCAGTGAATATCGGAACGCAGCCTCTATAGACCCTTAAACCTGATATTGATACCATAGAATCTATGGTATCAACATCAGGTTTAAGGGTCTACAGGAACCATACTAGAGACCTCTCGCAGAGACCCGCGAACTAGGCAAAATTATATTGCAAATTATGAACAAAATACGAAGAGAATCACCTTATATGTATGATATTTGCAATCAGGAGAAACGTCCGCAGGGTCGTACAGAGCGCTTTTTCGGAAAAAAAGTCGAAATAAAAATCGATTAAATAATTTGAATAAACGTTCATCTCGCGGTGCACGAACCTATATTTTCATTTATTACAAATTTTCAAGAACCTGAATGCAAAATCGGGCTCTGTACGACCCTAGATATTAATATAAGGAAGATGTCCATGTATGTCTGATAAGCAAATGATGTATGCGTGGCAAAATTTGTAAGTGTAGATAACATGGAAAGTGTAGCCCAGTTGCACTATAGTGCAGTCTATATGACCTAACCTTCCTGCCTTGCGTTCGTGCGAATAATGCATTAGTATTAGCGTATATATGAGCAGTGCATAAGTATTACCGTGTGTATGTACATGAATACCTTCCAGCTTCCACTTTAAAATATAAGATATTCTGCCACGTTGACGATATATGTAACCACCAAATTGATATAAAATATTCCTTGAACTATTATCGAGGTCCCTACAGAGCCAAATTTTGCAATCCGGCCGTCAAAAATTTATCATATATTAATAAAGCATCCACCGTATCAAGCAAGTCGTATACGTAAACATATATATGTTTACGTGTTTAATACATATATTTTTTATATATATATACGCATACACACATACATATATAACACATAAACATATCTATTTTAAAGTGATTATTAAACGAGGAAACAATTTTAATGATAATGTGACGCCCCAGCTGATTTCTTATACAGCGACGGGCCTGAGTGCACCGCGATCGTCGCCCCGGCCGCGTGCGCGGAGCGGTGCGAGGGGGACGGTAGGCGTCACCTACTGAATTTCGTCCGAAATGTGCAGATCGTGTCCAGCTCTGCACTAGGATATTGACAAGAGGAGACTGAAAATCGAACGCTGAGATTCGCACTCACCGAACGCAGTACCTCTACCACCAGGTTTCCCTTTTCGCGCTAGCACCACAGACTTCTATAGTATAACCAGAGAGAAACCTGAGAGCGGCCACGGCCGCGTTTTGCTTGAGGCGCTTTTTCGCGACTGTTTGATACCGCCCTCTGCATCCATTTTTAGCCGGGAACTATTTGCTGCATCCATTTTCTAGCGCGCCGGTAAAGTCTCCACTTGGTGCGAGTCCGTGTTACGTCCACTTTCAGTCGTACGAGTTCGAGTTCGAATTACTAGGTGCGTGTCCCGACTATTAGATAGACTGAGACGAGATAAATATCTGATGAGTGAGACAAGAACGGAGAAGCAATTATTAATGAAATTACTCCGTCTCTCTCTCTCTCTCTCTCTCTCTCTCTCTCTCTCTCTCTCTCTCTCTCTCTCTCTCTCTCTCTCTCTCTCTCTCTCTCTCTCTCTCTCTCTTTCTCACCACCGGTGAGCAGACCGCGCGACGATAGGCACGAGACGAGCCAGCGACGATATTTTCGCCACGCAATAATCACCCCTTCTTTATCCCGCTCGCCTTTGACATGACACGTTCCGCGTAATGCGGGAAAGGAACGATTTAGAGACTTCAAATTTGCTGTGAAATCGGAGAAGGGAGAGAGGGATGTAATTATAATAATGAAATATATATATATATATACACTGAGAAATAAATTTATTACATTTTAACAAACGTCAGTTTGCATACAACTGTGAACATATCAGTTTAAATTAAGACACTGTTTAGTAAAATCAAATAAAGAAGTTTATATTTAAAATTACAATATATGAAAATTAGAAAATGACTGTTTAATTTAAACATGTTTACAGTTGTATCCAAACTAACGTGTGTTAAAATTTAGTAAATGTTTTTCAGTGAGTATATATATATATATATGTGTGTAAGGACTATATATATATATATGACGACTATTGTGCCTAGCGATGGGTTTAAATTTCAGGGTTAAAAGTTCAATATATTCATTCCTAACGCTAGGCATCATTGCCGTCATATAATAGTAGATTAGGTCATTCTGCACAAAAAAGTTCTCTGCACCATTTTGCAAATAAATACATAAATTTTCAAGTTATCAATTAAAAAAGTCTCTAAATGTGGCCATTTTCATTATTATTAACTTGTTAGTAACTATTGAATTACTCGGAATTAGTTGTAACTTTTGCCTCTTTTATACAGGGGACATATATATCTTGAAAGAAAAATAATTTGATAAGTTTTATTTGTAAAAACTTGTTATGTATTAGGAGTACAAATTAGTTCGGTCCGTTTTTCTATGTTAAAAAATGTATTTATTTCAAAATGAACGAACAGATCAATTAAAGTATTTTCCATCGCTGGCTACTACTTTCTCCCATTTCTCAGGCAATTTTCGAATTCCATCTCGAAAAAATGACTCGTCTTTTGAGGCGATCCAAATTTGGAGCCAATTTTCGATTTCTGCGAAAGAAGTGAACCGGTGACCTGCCAAATCGTGCTGCATCCTTCGGAACAACCAGTAATCAGAAGGAGCAATGTCCGGAGAATACGGCGGGTGCGGTAAAACATCCCACTTGAGCGTTTCCAAATATTTTTTTACGACTTTTGCGACATGAGGCCGAGCGTTGTCATGAAGAAGAATAACTTTATCATGTCTTTGCTCGTATTCCGGCCGTTTTTCCGGCTCGTATCCAGGCCTCAACGGCTTGTTGAGTCACTCCCAATGATTCTGCAAGCTCCTCTTGCGTTTGACTCTGATCTTCTTCGAGTAATGCCTCTAATTCTTTGTCCTCGAATTTTTTTGGCTGTCCAGAGCGAGGCTTGTCTTCGACGCTGAAATCTCCATCCTCGAAACGTCGAAACCATTCCCTACATGATTTATCAGTCGGAGCAGCGTCACCATAAACTTCAACAAGCATTCGATGGGCTTCAGCTGCACTTTTCTTCCAATTAAAGCAGAAAATTAAAACCTCCCGTAAATGCTGCTTGGTTAACACAAAATTCGACATTTTCAACACTGTAAAAAGCAAGGTTTTTGTATGAAACTCAAAGCGATATAAACTGAACATTATTGGCAGATGTCTAACCTTTCTGAAACCGCCAAAATCGGTCACTGTGAACCATTCGTAACAGCCGGAGCCATCTTTTGAAAACTAATTTATACACCCAATACATAATATATATCTTAAAAAAGGAAATAATTTGAATTTGAGATTTCTAAAAATATTAAGTATACAATAATCATATATATGATATATGTTAGATTTCTCAGTTGGTATCAGTAACTTGAGATACTCATCTTCTCGCAAAGGAATTGACATATCCATCTGATTTCGAAAAAATTTCTTTGTACGAGATTTTTACGAATCAAGCAGGCAAAATTATACAATAGATGGTTGAGTGTTTGCAGGAGAAAAGTGAAGTACAAAGTTTGGTACATAGATATTATATTATATTCAAGTAGAGGTACTAAAACCTCTACGACCAAAACTGCGTAGTGGCCACAGAATTAAGCGGCTGGGCTGCTATCCTGAAGAATAGTGTTTCGAAGCTTCGAAGTTGGTATTCGAAGAACACGGGGAAAATAACATGTAAAAGGAAAATTGATTTGAATCCAAGAACAACTGCCTACATTCTCAACACTTTCTTTACACTAAATATATTTTGCTCCCATTGGGAAACCTTGATTGCGAAATTTTACAATCGATCATTTTGAATGCAATGTTCAATATTTTAAGTAAAAAATTTCTCTCAAAACTCAAATATCCTTAAATTGATTTTTGCCGTTACTGAGCTGCGTAACTTGGGACTAAGACGGGAAACTCGTTTGATATTACACATTTAAAAATCTTCATCTCGTTAAATTAGCCGCATTATTTAAGCAACTATTAATTCATTTTCCAGGGTCTGGGCATAATATGCATGGCATGTGCATCCCCGGCTTACATCGGTGCGACGCATTGGTTTTTATTCGTCGCAGTGACGTCCTTCATATCTACGCTTATATGGTGCGCTGTGTACCTCCTTTCCATCCGAGAGGCACTTAAGGTGCCCATTAACTGGATCCTAACTGTAAGTATACGTTGCGGAAAACGCGAGAGAAAGAGCTATGCTATTATTGATTTTACGAAGGTAACTCTTCGATCTTACAAGATAATTTCCCTTCTTTCAGGAACTTTTAAACACATCTATAAAGACTGTGCTTTATATGATCGCGTTCATCGCTCAGCTGTCGGCCTGGACCGCGTACAGGAATTCATCATCGAATATCGCTGCTGGGGTGAGAAATGTTGTTATAATCAACTTTACACGAATATCTTGCGGTAAGAGTAAGTCTAATGCAATTACTCGACCGAAAATTTTGTTTTCCTCGTGACGTAAGACGGAGCAACGCCGGGGATTAAACCAAGCGTCTTGAACATTCTGGCGATTAATTGCAGAACATCCGAAATATCTCGAGCGATTGAGCGAGCGATCTTGGAATACTCTTTTTAAACGCACAACATCGCTTTCAGGTATTCGGAATTTTCAATACCATCGCATACGCTGCCGGAGCTTATTTCCTCTACATCGAATGGAAGAGCACGAACACGCAGTGAGAACATCACCAGCCTGCAGAGGGGAAGCCAGGTACCTGAAGAGCATGCAAGAACAACTGCAACAACTGCAACAGTAACAACAACAACAACAACAGCAACAACAACAACAACACTATCATTATCAAAAAATGCCGTGACCATGCCCATGACTCCTCAGTGTCCGTCCAAGAGGATTCTGGCACGGTCCCAAGATCCTGTTCGACAGGCAAGTCAGCACCAGGAGGGACGGCTTGATACTAGTCCGGCGTGATCCTCCTCAGATTGTGTGTAGCTTAAAGAAAGACTCTGTACCTATACGTGCCTTAAGATTAGTTACTTGTCACGCGCGTGATCGTCGTCATTAGAGCTGACCTCTTGCCGCTTCGAGGAGAGTCGTTGAAGTTGCAGGAGCGAACGAAATGTTACGAGATGCTGCATTATATTCTCTCAGAGGCGATAATGTTACATGCACGAGATTTCCAGGAAATCGACGAGAGCGAGCTTGAAGATTTCTAACTTTATAAACTTTACATAAAATCGTAACATATGTGAAAACAAATGAGAAAAGAGAAGAGAAGAGAAGATTCCCATTATCTGATAACATAGTCGTTGCTATGGAATACTGTTATTGAAAATTGTAATAAAAATTTACATACCGACGAAGAAAGAGATATATAGATAGGGATAGATATTTTCGAATACGCTAATAAAGACGTTGAATTTGTTCTTAATGAAAAAAAAATTGCTATTATTTGGTTCTCCATGCGAATGTTATTGCGCATTTGTCTTTATCAATTTATCTCATTGTTTAATTAGCGAATTTTAATTATCATTTTACGCGGATGCTACCTACCTGTATTTAGTTACATGAAGGTACACTCCAAGTGACAGAAAGAGAAGGAGAGACAGAGAGGGAAAAGGAGGGAGTATATTTGTCAAACATAAGTAAATCTGACGTCATTTCGTTTGTGCTGCTACTTTTGTTGCAACGATCCTTTGGAGAACGACGAGATAAGTAGTTCTGAAAGACCTTACGCTAGCGTACGATAAGTTTCCGTAGGGATATCGGCGATTTGTTCGATCGAGATATATATATATATATATATATATTATCAACGGTTCGACGTTCAACCACGTCGATGATTCATTACTTTTTCTCACATTTTCCGACGGCTGTCTCCGCTGGGAATTTCAACGAACGAACATCCGATCGTTTCAAATAGCTGATCACCGTACGCCAAACGTATCGTGCACCTGATACACGTGCGTGAAACGTCATTTTCTAATCGTATCCTTGCGCACTCTCGCGAGATCTTATTTATATATACACATATATTTCTCTTTATATATACATAATATATATTCTAGATGACATATATATATATATATATATACATATTATATATACATATATTCTAGATTGGACGCGCAGTACAATTCTTTTTTATATTCTCTCTCATTCGCATGTAAATCGTACGTTTCGAATATTTCAAGGGAAAATCTCATGTCGACGGAACGAGTCATGGACGCGTTACATCGATTGTCATTCTTGAGTGTGCTCGTACAGAGCCAAGGTGTATCTAGAAAAAAAAAATGCCTTCAAGTGTCGCACGAGAACGTTCGATAATCAAACTCAAAGCGTTGCTACGTTGACTCATTTATAGCACTGATGAGACTAACTGAAGTTAAAAGTGGGCGTTACGTTGGTAATTAGGATTGCCTTGTTCTCCTTATCGATAAGCGTGCTGAGAAGGTGTGAGTTAGAAGGAGCGAGGGGAAAAGCGAATTCGCCAGTGGGCGTTCGTTCATTTCTCTGCTCGCTTATGCATCTCCGTTTCGTTCATCTTTTCTCAAATCAAACGACAGAAAAGAAGAACAACATCGACATGTGCATTTACGTTCAAGAAATTGTTTATTTCGACATTGTTAGTTGTTTATATATAGCACTACTTACCACGTATCGTAATTGATAACGCGCATACGGTGATATATATACATAATATACATATATATATATCTCTGCGTGTGAACATTTTTTTTTAATTTTCAAAGTTTATTTATTTTTAAGCTGTGGATGCTAAAATAAAATGAAACTGAAGGACATTGTGCGCATCGGTGTGTGTTTTTTATTCGCAGACCTTGCGTTGCATTCAATCCATGAACGTTTCAATCCTTCCTCGTTTCCTCAATATACATTTCATTTTCTATAAATGATTTCTCCACTTGTTTCCGTGATTATGTTCAAGATAGAGGCCATGGGAATATGCGAGATGTAAATCGATATAATTATGCCGTTACGTCGCGAGTAACGTTTTGCTCCGAATAATAAGTCTATTACAGCGTGTTTCATCTTTTCCGTGTTTTATTATATCCTTCTTGGTCTCTCACACAAAAATTGACCTTAGGTAATCTTTGATGAATCAGTTTATTTATTGTTGTTTTCAACTTATATCGTTATCAAATTGTTATACCGCGAATCAGAATCTGGGGTACGCTTATATCCAATGTGCTGATATGCACACCTACCGTTGAAAAATATGCGTGCACGTACAGTGTATGATATCACCAATGACGTCATCCTTGGCTCGCTCTCGACGCGCAACGCTTCAGTCAATTGGCGACGGTTGATGTGTAACGACCTGCCTTCTTAAGGTTAGTGTATTTCTTGTGCATAGTGTTTATCGCTTGTTTACCCATTCGTGATAACATGTAAAGAGTCAGAAATACGTGAGCAGTCAGAAATACGTGAAATTCAGAGCAGACTCCGTTTAACGCTGAATATTTCTTCAAAGTGACGGATAGACTAAACAGATTGATTTATTCGACACTTGGAAGCATTTGTAGAGTCGAACTTTATAGTAAGAAATTTGTTGCGGTAATTCTTTTTTTATCAAATTCCTTTAACCTACATAGTTTAAATCGTTTTACATGTTAGAAGTTTGATACGTAAAGTGATGTTGTGGACTCAAAAACAATCTATTTGAGGATTCTGAGGACAGTCGTAAGTGCTTATTATATATTGCAAATCACAGTGTTACAGTAACATTATTTGCGACTTTATATTTTTAGAAAGCATCTTCTCGATTGCTGATGCGATCGGTTCTCACAGTGTTTATTGTCTTACAAACATGAAAATAAATAGTGAAAACGAGTAGAAGAAGATTAAACTAGTTTACGCTGTACAATTAAGCGGTTTGAACAATCCAGAAGACAAGAACAGGAGAGAAAGGAGAGAGAGTGAAAGAGTGCGCGTATATTAGTAATTTACATATAATAACGTGAATGAAAGTGAATGATATTATTAGACCGTATAATATTACATGGATGTAGCAATGAGCAGCGATTTAAGAGATAATCTTCTTAATCGCAGCGTGAGCAAGTACGGTACGAGACTAATATGACAGATGTACGATTTAATATTTTGATCTCAATCGCTTTGATAAATTTTTTACTCTCACTTTGCGTCTACGTTTTGCGTAGTTAAAAATAGCCTGTAGCAACGAATCGCGCGCTATCGGCCTCAATGTCGAATTTTCGTTTCACTAATGTCTTGAATGTTTTCCCACATACTCACGCTATAATCAATAGAATATGTATATTATATTAGACCCATAGTTTTTATCTAAAAACCTTCATTCTTCGCTTCAGTCTCGGAAAAACGACATATTTAGCAGCTTTTTTGTATATATATAAAATCATTGCTATATAAAAATCGTGTAGAATTAAATCTCACTTCTCACTTTTTAATCCGGAGATTTCCGCGTCAAGTATTATAATTATGAAATGCAGTGAGTTTTATAGAGATATTATGCAGTCTGTCTAACAAGGGTGTGACCGGCAAAACTTTTTTGAGCGCTGTTAGACGAATTACTTCGAAATGAACATACGCAGGCCAGTTTTCCGCAACTGATAGAATTTTTTTAATATAAAAGTGTTTAATGCATTTTCTCTTGTTCTGTTATATTAAATAATTCAAAAACTATGCTAGTTACGCTCTCATTAGATAGACTGTGCGTTATGCGTGTCTTCGATACTATCCTTATCAGCATTTAATCCTTCTCTTGCTAAAGTGAGATTTAATTAAGCTTCGCAAAAGCTCTTGACGCAGCTCAATAGATGCTCTAAATATCCTCTGCTGTTATTTTACTCACGCCTTTTTCCACGAGAGAAAGTGAATCCAACGAACTCTCACGCACTATTGATCGTAGGTTTACTTAAAGGGGAGTGCCAGGATATCAGACAGGAGACTGTCTGATATCCTGGCTATCTATCTATCTATCAAGGCCTATCTATCGGCCTATCTATCGGCCTATCTATCAAGAGATATTTTGTCCAATAAGATGTCCTCGACACTGCCTTTTATACGATTATAGCAGCATTGATAAAATATCAAATTTATTACTTCTCCAGATCAAAATAAAGTTTCTCGGAAAAATGTCACTTGCGTCATCTTTGGCAATATTTGTCAGATTTTTTAATCGTTCGTACAGCTCGTTGAACGAAAAGTCGGGATACGCGAAACTATGTTACGCACGTGCGGGATTCTGGAAAGTTATGCTGTCATTGCTATTTTCGTGAAGACGAAGCGAGGATTTTCGTTCGACATAGGTCTCACCTCGGAGCCTCGACCTTGTCCCACTTGTGCCGTACGCGAATGCCTTCAATTACGCACATACTGAGTGATGCATTTATGAATTACGATAAACTCATATAAACAGCATCGTTTCGATTGCAGAGCTGACCTCAGAACGAGACAACAATGTCCCACTCTGTGACGATTAGGACGCAAACAGTGACGACCAGCTCGTCCGCGTACTACATCAACAGCGGATATTTGAGAACTTGGGGCGGTATTTGCAAGCTCATACAACTGGTACGTACGCGCCATTACTATTACTGCGTCTTTGTTATTTTGTGCGATGTTACCTTAATTGTGCTTGGTTCAGTTTAGCGATTTATAACTGATAATAACAAGCTTATTGCAATGTATAAATAATAGTAGTGGTAGTGGCTGTAAAATATTTTCTTACGTTATATTTAACAAGAGTATTCTCTCACGCATTTTTTTTACCAACAGACACTGGGCGTAATATGCGTAGGAATTGTTAGTTCCATATTCTCCAGCCACTATAATTTCCGAAACGGCAACGAAGTATTCTTCTTACTTATGGCGACCACCTTTATGATCGGTACTTTTATCATACTTCTCAGTTGCCTGACGTCTTTATCTACTGCGTCCGTTCTAAGCAAGACTATCTACGTAAGTACTTTCACTTAATTAAATATTTCCGTGTACTTCATTCCGTTAATGTGTTAACAATTAATTAAAATAATTTGAGATCCATCAGAGGCGTTCGTTTCTTAATCTGTATTTTCTTTTTCTCATCTTTAGGAATTCATTTATCACGCCATTGCCTTCGGATTATTACTCGCAGCGTCAATAACTCTATTAACGAACATCTATAGGCATTCGAGAGAATACGAGTTATTATTAGGCGCTTCTGTGAGTACAATGTTATATTTAGAAGCAATTGAATCTTTGTCAACGCAACAAATTGAAATAATGTACCACATATTTCATTCTTAATTAATTATTGGGTCAGTGAAACATTTGGTTCAACTTTCTTCCTTCTTCTACAATAAACTCGCCATTTTGTACAATAGAGTTACATGAATGTCGCTAAAACATTGACGAGGTATTATAGACGATGAGGAAAATTATTCGATTGATAAATAACTTGTTTCCATTGTACATGCAAAATAGAGTCGAATTTGATAAAAAATTTAACTGAAATCGTTTTCGACTGATCCAATATAAACGCTATCGAATAATCTGCGGTCAATCGATATGTATATTAATCATAACTTAATATGTTGTCATTTTTTAATTTTATTGGAACTAATATATTAATTTTTATTTAGATCTGCGGCCTAATAAACGCCGGTTTTTACCTCATCAGTGCAATCATCGCTCATTTTGGATACCGAGCGATCTAAGTGATTACATGATCTCTTATACAATTCTTTCGAGAGTGAGAACAAATTACATCAACAAAAATTATGACTTTCATAAACGTGTTACAAACTCAACTTAAAAAACTAGATCGATGTGTAAACTATGTATGTAAAACAAATTCTAGATTAGATAGAATCATATAAGATTCTTGACGAAAGCGAAGAATATATAAAAATCATTTTATCGCTATGTTTCGCATAATATCTCGAGAGCGTTTATGCGACTCACGCCTATATTTTTTACTTTTATACGATAATTATTCAATATTATATATATTAATATTCTTTGAATAAATAATTGAATATAAGTCCTTAGACAAATCTTGAAATTGTAACGTGCGTTAGGAGTCATAAATGTTACTTATTACCATCGTAAATATATGCAGAAATTTACGATTTTAAATTGTGATATAATCGTGTTTTAATACAGGATTACAAAAGTTATGCTACACTGAAATTCACAATTTGCACAACAGGAAGGGATGGGGATTAGATGAAAACTCATGATGACAAGAAATATCTTTCTTATTATGATCGAAAAAATTCATCTCGACATCCAGTCGCATTAAAATCTGATTGAAATGTTTGAAAACAATCGACTGAATGGAATCCCTTTTAGGAATCTTGCTGTTCTTATAACTGAATTTTCATCTGATCTCAATAAATAATAGACAATAGAAAAACGACTAGAAAACTGAAATTTTCGGTATGTTACTTTGACTCGTGTAAGCTTTTTATTATGTACATTTTGTATCGATAAGTGCCATTTACATTCATACACGGTTTTACACGGTTTCACAATGATTGTGATTTGCAACACTTTTGCAGAATAAATCTTAATATACACACATACACATACATACTTATAAGTGCGTGTATTATATATATGTATATTATACGCATATTATATATATTAACATTCTTTGAATAAATAATTGAATGTAAGTTGTATTGTTTGATTTTTAAGCACGTGTATACACATGGAAATTCTCTATATTTTATAGATTTCATAAATTTTATTATATCGTGATAATTTTGTACTTATGTAAATTTCGTAATTATATCTCCGTTATTTATCAAATTAATTATAATCAATTTAAAACAACTAAGCGATATAGAATATATAATATTTGCGATATGGAATAAATTAAGCAGTTTTCCTATTACGCACAATGCAGAACGAGAAAAATGTTCCAAGTTATGTTCCTTTCGAGTTTTTTGCGTTTTTAAAGTCTGCACTGCTAGCCGACAAAGCATCCCGTGTCAGCGGCACGCGCCAGAAATAGACAGCAATTTCCCCTGCGTCGAGAACGCTGTGCGGAGGGTGCAACGACATTCATACTTCGTGGGTGCACGCGCCGACACCCTCAGTTCGTATAAAAGTGTCATCGGTCGCGGTCACGCTTCGCGTTTACCCGAAAGTTGCTACCGGGGGAAGGACAAAAGATTAATGATTATAATCTCTGAAAATAGTCGACTTAATTATTGCTTAAGTTCTGTTGAACGTACGTACGTTAAACGTACAAAGTTCGACTCCAAAATATCGCGTAAATTAAGGAAAAATATTAAAAAGTGTATTCTCAAAGGGGTATTATCTTTTTATTCTCAATACAGGTGGCGAAAGTAATTCATTGTGCATTATGAAATAAACCTGGGTGATTGACGTGTGATAAATTTAATCTGTCTCCGTGAGAGAGAGAACGCGCATACACATGCGGCACTTGAGTAACGAGTAAAGAAGGACTAATAAAGAGCGCCGAACGGTCCATATAAACGAGACAATTTAACGGGATAATTTAACGAGCGTCACGACACACAAAACACAAGAGTGGACGTTATATTAGCCGTCTAGGATACAGAATCATGGGCATGAACAATGTTGGACCGGTGATCAGGATGTCTTCGTCTGGCACGCACGGCGCAGGCGGTGTCGGCTGCTGCTGTTTCAGGTGCTGCACGTGCATACACGTGGAGTTCCTCAAGTCATTGCCGGGGATCATGAAAATCGGCGAAACGGTAAGCGATCGCGACGGTCTGCACATTATTACTATGGCGTATGCCAAATTAAAAAAAAAAAAAATAAAAAAGAAAGTGAAAATACCACATCGAATATAAAAGTGGAAAAAGATCACTTTCGATGACTACGACAGATAGGCAATATTTGAGTGGCAGTAATTTCGGCAGAAATAACGGTAATGAAGTATTTCTATCAAAATCATTTGCCAGTCTCGAGTTTTCATGTATATTTTTGGATACAAAGGCCACTCATTTTTTACGAATATTATATCATTCCAGTTAATCAGCGGATTAATACAGAGCTTGCTGATCAATTACGGCCTGAGGTATAGTTCAACTATAGGCTCGGCTTTTGAAGGATCGTTAACCACAGCATCCGCTTGTTTCCTGACTTCGGCTCTGTTGCTTGCCTGTTATGCAGTTTCCGAGAAGACCTACCGGCTTATTCGTTCGTCACTTTTTGTATGTATTCATAGGAAAATCATAAATTTGCGATATTTTAAATTAAATTCTGTCTCTAAAATTTTGTTACTTAGAGATAATAGCTTTACTAATTTATACAATTTATTAAATTTGTTCATCGTTATTTCGTTTCAGGAAATGATGTTCAACTCTGTAGCCTGTTTCCTGTATTTAAGTTCAGCATCTTACTTGGCCTTTGCTACAAAAGTATTCCTAACGGTCGAATATTACGTGAAACCCGCGTTCGACGTTTACCCCGCCATGACAGCCGCTTATGTAATTGCACAGTTGATTATATATAGTCACGGATTTAACGCTTTCGCTAGTTTGCGCTATTACCTATTCGTTACGGGACAAAGAACTGTCGCGGCAATTCTATTTCTCTTTTGCCAGTAGTTTTGAAGTTTCAGTATGCACTTAGTCAGTCCAAATCGGAAGGAAAAGCGGAAATTTTACCAGTAACAAAAGACTATACACATTTAGCGTTGTGATATGGAAATTTCAGATTTTTTGTTTAATGATATTTTATCTTGAATAACATTAAAAAAAATTTATTTATGTGTTGTAGATCCTGAGTGGTGTCGTCGGAGTGTTGCATGGAGCAGACGCGTATATATGCTATAAACAATACAAAAGTGGGAGATAAATCACAGTAATACTTAGATATAACTGTTATCTAATTCCACAATTAGAAGTGGTAATTGCATGAATGCCTACACGTAAAGTTTATATTCTTAGGGTGTAACAAAGCGTAAATATCGGTGAATCGCAGCTTTGTGTCGTTAATAATATTGACCAATCAAAAATCGCTATACTTTTTTCTAATGGCAGCAATAGGGAACTTTTCGATTGCGTCAGTGAGACTGGGAGGAAACGTGAGCCGATAAGGAATCAGAATACGCAACGATACCTACGACGTTGTGGAACTTTCCAGCTGCATTAAAGTATTGCTTAAACTCGTAGCAGAAATGTTAATTCACAAATCTTTGTTCTCTACAAATTTTTGTGATGATGACAATTGGTCTTTTCGTAATGATCGGCAATTTGCTAAACATGAAAATAGACGCTTCAAATAGGCTTACGTAAATATTACAGTAAAAACAGAAAAAGAGAGGATGACTCAAATATATTTACATAATATTAAAGAATAAGGTGATAGCAAATTGTAATACAAACATTTTGAACAATGTTACCCAACACTTGGTCCCCCCTTCTGTGTTCAGTCTCTAACAGTTATTAAATTATTACAAATAATATTTAGTCAAATGAAAGAAATCCTTTTTACAAGTAGGTCGCTCAATCAAGATAATATGAAAAAAATTCTGTAACATTAATAATTATTTGTTGCAGAAATCTTATTTTCTTTTTTACTTGATCGGAACTGCTTGTCTCGGCAAAGGTCATGAGGCCTTTTGAAGGCGGCGATAAATTCTCCCACATTCTTTAGCTATCTGGAGATAACAGTTCCTGCGTACGTTAAATAGTTTCTACGTTAATCCATCGCGTTCAACTGATGTTGCTTTTTAAATCTAATAGACAAGTCGTCAACTGTTGTTTCGGCCACGAAAGCGCGCTGAGGCGCCGCGGTACGCCGTTTCAATGCGTACCAGGTTATACCTGGACCCAGGATGGGGAATGAGAGTTACTTGGCTTCTCATGGACCTCGTGGTACCTTCGTCAGGTTTCTCCTTCCGTCCTCTTCCTCCGTCTCCCCCGTAACCGCTTCAACTGTACGCTACCTCTGTCTTCTCTCCTCGAGCTTCCACCGTCTCTCTTTCCTCTCTCTAGTCTCCGAGAGACTTTGTTCTTCTCTTCGTTCTTCTGGCGACGTACAGATCCCTCCTTTCTGTCGCTCTTATTGACGTCTCACCGTGGCTATATAAACGTCAGCAGGCATGTTGCCGGCAGTTTACTGCATGCTCTCGAGACGATCGACTCACTCGGAGTCGAGAGTGCCTCGAATGCGCTTCTTCGCGTCGTGTCGGTTTTCCTCGCTCGATTAACCGGAACATCACCGGACCGGGAGATTGGGAAATCTGCGAGACGGTTCGCAAGCATCTTGGAAATTCGATTCCTTCGCTGAAGGCCGGTTGACAAGACTTGAGACTGGTAGTGTGAAGGATAACATGATGAACAATTCGACGGAAGGTAATACTTCAAAATATACGAAGGGAGATAAAAAATAGGGAGATAGAAAATGAGGGGTGATCGGTATGTTTAATGTGGTGCGCATTCGTTAACTCTCACAATTCGGATAGTGTAACGATCCTTATTAGAATGCGTCTGATAATTGTCGACAGTGCCAATAATGAATAACCAGAAAATGTGTCTGTGCTCATTTCTCGAGGTTTTCGGAGGCTCTGAGTATGACAAATTTATCGAGAACTCCAAAGAATTAGTGTATATATAATAATGTTATACTTATTGTAAAATAAAAGTGGTTTTCTTACACGAGGGGAAAGTGAATTTATTAAGAATGCCAGAGCGAGCATTTCCTCGAGATTAAAGCGCCATTTATTGCTTCTTAATGGAGCGACGTGAAAGAGAAGAAGAGGGAAACTGCTAGTTGCGAGCTCGAGGAATTTCGATAGTGTTTCAACCAAGTGGTTCAACAATGTTAATTGCGTTTCAACATTGAAGATAAAGATGCGGCGGTGAACGTTCCTTTAATTCAGATAATGAATAGATGCAAGCGCGTTGCAGCAAGGAACAACACTTCCACCTGCAACGCGGAAGTTCATTCGCTCATCAATGCTCGGTTATTGCCGTTATGGAAACAGCAAACGATGCCTGTCTCGCTTGAGAACGCGTTCTCTATAACGGAGAGACTTAATTACAACCAAACAAACGATCCAAGTATATTACCCTCGTGTGCGCAGCCGGATAAGCAAATTTCGAGCTGCCGCGATGAAAAAATCGCGACTTTCTGAAGAAAATCATCCTCGTTTTGACGTCATCATTTCTCTCCGGCAACATTTCTTTCAGATATTTTTCACACCTGGTGCAACACGACGAGCTGCGTGTTTGATATTAGCACATCTGTCGACTTGGCTTTAGGAGAAACGCAGATTTTGCAACATTCGTCGGAAACTAATCGCGATGGCGGCACAAAGCGAATCGCTCCGCGTTTATTTAATTAATCTCGTTAAAGTCAATAGATCACGCTGCCTTGTACTTCGTGTTTCCGTTCGCGATGCTTTGTGTAACGCTGAATACAGCTGTCAACACCAATGTCATACAGATATCTCATCGGGAAGGATGAATTTGCTCGAAATAAGCCGGTGAAAATGTGCGACTCAGTGAAAGTAGGTTGCTCCCGTTTTAGTTTACGACAGTTTCGTATTTTATGACTATTTCTTTTCGCGAGTAAGGCGTCTCGAGATTTGATTCGCTGATTTCTTCGTAATAACATATACATATATATATATATATATATTAGAGATGTGCGAACTATTCGAATTCGAATCGAATCTAATGTAATTCGATTCGATTCGAATCTGAATCCCTATGATTCGAATCCGAATAATTCGAAAATTTCGAATCGAAGATTCAATTACGAATCAAATATATTAGCGTGCATTATATTTGCATGCATCAAGTACAAAACGAGACATCTGGACCTGTATGTTTGAACCCTTAACTTGTAATTAACTTAACTTATAATTAATAACTTAATTATAAATTACTTTAAATATTTAAATATATATTTTACTTTAAGATGATATTACAATATCAATATCCCCTTTCATATTAAAACCTTCCATCATTATGTGCATATTTAATAGTCATGTTAAATTTTTTAATGATTCGATTCGATTCGAATTCGAATGAAATTTCATAGATTCGATTCGATTCGAATTCGAATTAAAAAAATGAGATTCGATTCGATTCGATTCGACATAAAAATTCTTGATTCGCACATCTCTAATAAGTATATATATATATATTGTTGACAATATATAAAATAATAAAGCACCCGTGATAAAGCTTCCGGCGAGAGAATCCAAGGCGTTTTCTGATATGACGCTAGATTCTTCAAGGTGTCGCGCGAATGGCGAATCTAGCAAGCACGTGGAATTCAACAGGTGCTGTATCGAGGTCGGCTGTACCTACGATACGATACGGTGCACGTGCTCGAAACGATAAATTCCACATGCGCGAGAAAACATTGAGAAAGTGCAAACGATATCGCCCATGGGCCAACTCAACGTTCAGACCTGTATGTCACGGTGCCGTTATTTTTGCACGTTTCGAAATCTCCAGGAGCTTGTTATTAGGGACTGACAGAAGTCGGTCGGGTCGTCTGTGATTTCATTGAGGAGAATCACAAGAGATGAGTCATTCCACAGATGTGGAATCAGAGACCGAGCTGAAAGGTGGCAGAAAGTGGCGGATAACGATGACAGGCAATTTGACGGGGAATGAAAAATGGAGAGGAAAGTACGGAGGACGAAAGCAACACGGCTAAAAAAACCGACGAACCTCTGCGACGAACCGATCTCTGATAAAACGTCGATCGAGTTGTCGGCGCGTCGCCTCGATCGCCGCGTCAAGATTTTCATTCGGAGAGAAACAACGAGCGACGTTCAATATTTGACGTTCATTACGAACACTCGTCTCGTCTCGTCTCGTCTCGTCTCGTCGAGAGTTAATCGCCGGACATATCCGGTCGGAAAGTCCAATTAACTACCCTGCCCAATTTATCAGCATGTGCTCTCTGCGTCTCGAGAGAGATCCCCGATTAATCTCTCGCCAAGGCCTTGACTAGCACTTTACATATGACATATCGGACTCATTGCCAACGGGAGAAGGTTGGGTCGCAAACACGATGCGAGCATTCCGATCCGCGAATCTCCCGATCGCGCATTCAGAATTGCGTCACGTGAGTCGCATGCTAGTGCTCTGTGATATGAGCTAAGAGAGCCGGCGAGTAACTATGACGGCCGCGAATGCATCGTGATATTCGAGCAACAGCGACGGCGACGAGACGAAATTGTCCTGCTCCACGAAAGGATGAGTGGAACTCCCCATGGAAAAAAACCAGGACTACCAGCCAACAAGAAGGTCGGCACTAGTCACCGATAACGCGGGTATTCTTTAGAAGCTGCGTCTTCAACCGTGATGCTGTTGTGTCGTCAGTCGCACCGACGGTTCACCCAAATTTACATTCGGCTTCAACGCTCGATCGATTCGGCGGAAAAGCGTGAGAGTTTCTCCGAGTTTCTCGGACGTGTTTAGGCCAAGAGAAATTACTTCGTCGGTGTGAGATTCTGTATCAAGAAGAATGAAGGTTCATTTACAGTTCTCCTTAGTTACCCGAATTTTTCGCGCGAGTCCTGTATAACGAAAGGGCGCGTTTCCTTGGATCCTCCTTAAATCTGAGGATTTCAGTCACTTTAATAATTTTCCTTTCATACATCTCTTAAACTTTAAATGACATTTAATCCGCAGGCTTTATTTTCTGGAAATAAAAGTAACTTACTCCCAGCACGTAACCGTGCGAGCGACGTTAGGTTCTTGTTGAAACGAGCGATTAAATAGAGAGGAGAGCGAAAGTAATATTGCCCGTAGAAATCGGCAGCGGCTTCTCGCGGTGCGAAATTTTGTTCGTGGAGGAAAGTCGCAGATACTTTTTTATCAGGGTTATTCTTTCCTGCATACCGCAGCAGGGAAAACAAAACCGCTTGCCGCGCATGCGAACAATTAACGCGCTACGTTCATTGCGACTTACGCACACCTGTCGGCACGTCGGAGGGATGTATTTGTCACCGAACGATCGGCGAACTTACGCGAAAATATTGATTAACCGGTGCGAAAGCACGCCGCTGACAAATCCGTCGGAGCTTACTCTGTGAAAAGATCCTTCAAGTAAGACCAACTTTTCGCCTTATTCCGAATTTAATTTTGCTTTGTCGGACGCAATTGAGATTCAATAACGCTACGTAATAATAAAGCTAACTAATTCCTGTGCGTTTGGTACGTTTGATTTTGGAAAGACTAGAACATTAGTTTGTCAACACACGTGCCGCACACGAACGCGCAGCGTGCAGGAAAAACGCCTCTCGTCTCGAGTTGCTTGTCTGATTATCTCGTCATGTCAGTATGCGGAGATGCCTTTCTCCGGGGAGCACAACTCCACTAATAACCATAAGAAAGGCCGTTATGCTGTACTGAACAGCAGGATCGAAAATTGCTCGGCGGATGTGGCCATCATCCGCTCTTTTTATCGCGCGAGATTTTGGAACTTCCGCTTCACACTTCTTCTTTTAGAGACAAACCTCGTCCTCACAAGCGCACTGATAGAAAAATATAGTTGAATTAACTATAATCTCACTATATTTTATAGTTCATTTTGGCGTCAATCATATTTTTACAGTTCGTGGAACCTGCAAAATATAGTAGAATAAACACAAATATATAGTCAATGATTGTCTTAAATAATTGTTTAGTTACTTTTACCACATATATGGTAATTTCTCATTCACAAATATAGCGAGATTTAATATTCATATAGTTACATCTGTCATTATTTAGCAAATATTCTGGTAATATTGACTGTATAAAAGAGTTACTTTACCTAACATTTTATATTTGTATCCATACAATAATTTTAGTTTAACTTACTATAATTCTTAGTAAAAATATTATATGGTTGATTATATTATGCCTACATCGTAATTATTACCGATATTATGGTAATACTTACTATAAATATGATATTTCGGACTATAATTTAGTTACTATATCATTATAGTTCCAAATGTCATACTTTTCTCTCAGTGCGGTTCGATGAGTCATAAGATAAAAACATGTCATCTCTTTCGATGATTTAGATTTCCGACAACGTTCTAGTTTAAGCTTCGATAAAAAAATATCTCAATTTAAATATTTGAATCTCTTTAATATTTGTACTCTCGACGTCCCTTCGAGGTAAACTTCGTAATAGTCTGAAATAACTAAAACAAATGTCGTATCTCGAAGTAGTAAGAAACAACAATTATTCTGTATGATCACCCGATTGAAATGTCTCACATTTATTATGCTCGTCATGAAGTGACACGAAATGACTCATCGTGAAATTGGACGACTGAAAATTGAACGATAGTGCAGGATTCATCACTGTTGTAAAACGTTCAAAACATTGTCACGTTTATTAGGCGTATTCACGCATTTGTAATCTTAATCGCACGCGGGAGACATGGCATCTATTCTCCAATGAGGCGCTATCGTGTGATCCTTGACGTTCCATCGCATCTCCTCTCTCGGAGAGGAGGACCCCCTTCACCCATTCCTGCGTATGCGATTCATTTAGTTTATAACATGCATAAAACCAGTGCACACCGCACTTGCAGAAAAACGCAGCGTGGCCTTTCCTGTCGCGAATAACTTTCACATGCGCCGTCGGTGCACATGCACGCCGTTTATTTCTCGCGTGTACACGAAGCGTGCGAAGTAACGTATATGCAACTTCCAATGCTTCTTTCGATATCAATTGAAAACTGCAGCATCGGACCAAATATAAGAAATACTTAAGCAAAAAAGAAAAAAAAAACACGTGTCCTTTTCTGACAATCAGAGCTGGGAGAGAGAGAGAGAGAGAGAGAGAGAGTTACCTCTTTCCTAGATTCCGCTCTATCACCACAATTATCTGTACAATTCGGTGTGTAATAGCTTATTTTATGAAATAAAATATTATACAAAGTAACAATCTCCAGACAAGTGTGTAATAAAAAGATATGCTTTACAATAACGAGGAGAACATTTTTCAGAAAAATTAAAAGAGTATTCAGAAAAAGAGTAGATTCTTTTACATTCTCGACTCTGACGGACTTGAAAGTAATTTCGGCTTTAAACACTGCTTTGGATATCGCAACGGGATGAGCATAGGACATGTGCTCATAGATGATAAAAACGTAGTGCGATAAAAAATAAAGACGCACAGAGATGCATGGTAAATATTCGGACAATTCTTTCAGCGTACAACACTTCCGCGCCGGAGGTGGCCCGCCTGGGCGAAGAGTCGAATGAGATAGTGCCGTTGGTATCCGGTGTGATCAGCGTGATCGTCATAATAGTGATCCTCTTCTGGATAGGCATACAAATCGACCGCTTGTACCAGTGAGTAAACACGTGGCAACATGTATTCGTTTCTGTTGCTTCGTCAAACATTTGCGTCTTATTGTAATCGAATCGGTCGTCGCGGATGAAAACAACGCGCATTAGTATAGTGCAGCGCTAAATGCGTTTATGCCTAAGTGAATCAATTGATAATAACGGTCACGTGCCGCGGGAACGTTTGGTTAATCGAGAGAGAGAGAGAGAGAGAGAGAGAGAGAGAGAGAGAGAGAGAGAGAGAGAGAGAGAGAGATCAGTCGTCGTCGCAAAGCTGACGTAACGACTACGTCGATATTAACGTCGAGAATTCGTATATTATAGTCACGTCGCCTCACGTTCTTGCAGACAGCAGGAGCACCTGTTCCTGCGTTCCACGAGGAGGAAGCAGAGGAAACTGAAGTGGGGAATGTCACTGCCAGGACGAGCAAGAGGGAAGAGCCGAAAAGACGACGCGAAAGCCTTGGCCACGGACATGTGTCCCAATGGCGCCAGTGACACCGGATTTAAGACTATATGTGATACCGTTTGATGTTCGGCCAAATCGCCAGACTCGCGGGGTCTTCGCGACGAGCTTCGCGAGATCATGAGTTTGGCAGTTACCGGTCGCTTTTTCATCAAATATATCACGAGCAAAGTATCGTAGCGAAGAAAGTGATACGCTGAAAAGTGGCGTTGGTCTTGCTACTGCAGGACAGCTTTAACCATCCGTCGCTGATCGCTCGCTGAATATGAGCCGCCAATGAGAAAGATTATAAATTTAATCGAAAAAGATTCAAGCTGCATGATTCAGCGATTCTTGATGTACGTTAGGCGTCGCGTATGCTTTACATTGCCGGTACGATTCGTATGATTTTCAATCGCACATATAACGCGCGAAGCTTAAATGTCGTCGGGGAACTGCAGTAAATTGTATATTTTCATCGGTTTAATGGGCGGGATTTGTCCCCCAGCACTGAATGAGGTATTTTTGGTAGTAACAATACCGAACAGGTGTCAGGGCACACATTTTTGACACGACTGTCGTGATAATTCTGTAGTACGTATGCGTAGTAGAGGCTACTGGCGTTACGTATAGCGCCTTTCGACTGGAATACTGCCGTAGCGAAATGATTAAATCGGAACTGTACGATTGCCCGAAATGCTTCTCAGTCTCGCATTTCTCGCGCGAGGGCACACGTCTGATATTTATCAGAGATATCGTGCGATCGAGTGATATGCACTTGTTATGTAAATAAATTTGTATATAAATATCCTAAATGTATCTGTTAACGCGTAATCTTAAGTGAAGTACGAAATTTTGTGCTCGAGCAATAATATTTTCAACCTCGTTTCCCATTGCTGTCATCCCGCGTCATTGTGCTAGTGTCGTTTCCTTCCCATTATCCACCTATTTTTTAATTACAAATAACTGGTTCTGATATAAAAATACAGTCATTACGATAAGTTTTGAATGCAACCTAACATTTATATTTACATGAGATGATACGTATAGATTGCTTGCAACAGGGCGTCAACTAGTGTAATCACGGTCACAGTTTCAATTCTACAAATCTAATCCTCTAAGATTACATAGTGTTAGCGTTATATCGGACACGCGCCGTTCCGCGAAACGTGTCGAATCGCAACGTCGAACGTAACTATGGTGATATCAATGACGCTTACAGTACGGTATACCAAGATAGCTCGTTGACTTATACGCGTGTCCGAATAACTCGGTGAAAATGACGTAATGGAATAATTGGGATGGCTTTCATTGACGTGATTAATAAATTATATCAACGGACATGTCGCAAATTGCTTTGAGAGCGAAAAAGTAGAAAGCAGAAGAGGGAGAAAAGAGAAAGAAATCCAGCGGAAATGTTTCATCATGTATTTCTTGTACATGCATGCGTATGTGATATTTCTTGAACATATAAAAATGGTAAAATTTAATGTCTTTGTACGTAACATTAATACTTTTCGGTTTATGCAAATATTTGTACTTCGATTATAAAATCTTGTTTGTTTCATTTCTTTTCGGAATATTTCATTTATTGATAATTTTTTCTCAAATACTCCCTGAGATATTTTTCTTATATGTAATATGAGGTCATAATTATTAGTAGCTTGAATATCTTCGAAGTATGAGAGTAGGAAAAAGATTTATCAAACAGGAATTACACGACGCAGATTTTTTCTTTTTTTCAAGGCAGAAGAGTAACCTCGAAGACAGTCAAGTTGTTAGCAATTATTGACTCACTCTATACATATTCTTGATAAAAAACGTTTTCCAAAAATTATTTTTTGAATCTATATATCTATATATCATATATATTTATATGCGTTTTTCATTGAAAAACAGATATATGTACGGGAAGAAGCTAAAATTGCATCGAGATAAACTTTCATATAAAAACCATTTATTGGATCGCCTGATTCGCCATTAATTAAAACAGTTTTATCAAAAATCTTGTTGTATAAAAAATTTACAATAAAATTTTGCACCGGCTGCTAAACTCTCAACGGTTAACGGTCGGAATGTCGAAAGGGTTTGCAACGCTCTCACGAGCGTATCACAGCCTGATAATTGAAATTGCGGGCGTGTGTCTGCGATGACGAGCGTTATTGACCTTGTTCGCCAGGTCGGCGGAAGCGCCATGACCTACAGGCGATGAGCGATCACGGTCGCGGATCAAATGCGTCCAAGAACCATGGCTAGCAATGCCATGCGCACGTAGACCCCGTTTTCGGCCTGGCGGAAGTAAGCTGCTCGCGGATCGGTATCGAACTCGGTACTTATCTCGAAGACACGAGGCAGCGGATGCATCACCGTCATCTTCTTCTTCGCACGCGACATCAATTGCGGGGTGACTATGAAGTGTCCGCACACCTGTTACACACCGACAGTTTCGTGAGAGATGCTGATCTTTCAATCATCATCTTTGTTGTTATTCTTCGAACTAATTATTTGGAAAGCAGACGTTGAAGTAGGAAGCATGTATTGGAAAATAATTGGAAAATAAATTGAAAAATAATTGGAAAATAAATAATACTTTGCTTATATATTATCATTATATTTTATATGCCGTGCATTTTTTCAAAATCAACTTCAAATCTTTTAATAATTTTTCTCACATAACTCTCTCTTACCAATTGTTCCCTTACAATCTTGATGTTTATAAAAATGTCAGTAAAAAATGATAGAAAAAAAATAATAGAAACACAATTGATCGAAATTATGGCAACAGAATAACCCATTTAATTTTCGCCTAAACTTCCGCGGGTTCTTGTTTAAGTTCGCCTCGACATCTCGATATGAGACTTGCGTCGCAATAATCTTTGTGGTTTTCCGCCCGATAAAATAGGACAGAAGCCAACATAAATATTATCCTTTATATTTTCCTTCTGTTTGAAGAACATTGCACGCTATCAGGTCAGGTTTAATACGAACGCTGAATGTTTGTTTTCAAATTCAAAACAACGTATCGAGTTTATCGTAACGTCTCAACCCATGTTGCGGAAACTTTTAAAAGGGACATCTAAAAGGCGTCTTACTTCCTCAGACGTCCTGCGGAAACACTCACCTCGTTATATTCCTCCTGCGTGGCGAAACGTTCGCGTTGTATTCGCGTCATATAAAGGACGTCGGTCTCCGGCAGAGCTTCCTCCAGAGTAGCGAACTTTTCCTGCGGGATCCCGCGTTGGGCCACATAATTGATGACCTGATCCGGCATGTCGAGGCCAGGCGCGCACACGTAGCGAAGCTCGACATTGTACAGGGTCAGCAACCTGCGTCAGTGTCATTCAATAAGTGGTGCGTATCGAAAGAGAATACCTTGAATGACTTTGGACTAGAGATATGCGAATCAAGAATTTTTATGTCGAATCGAATCGAATCGAATCTCAATTTTTTTAATTCGAATTCGAATCGAATCGAATCATTAAAAAATTTAACATGACTATTAAACATGCACATAATGATGGAAGATTTTAATATGAAAGGGGATATTGATATTGTAATATCATCTTAAAGTAAAATATATATTTAAATATTTAAAGTAATTTATAATTAAGTTATTAACTGTAAGTTGAGTTAATTACAAGTTAAGGGTTCAAACATACAGGCCCAGATGACTCGTTTTGTACCTGATGCATGCAAATATAATGCACGTTAATATATTTGATTCGTAATTGAATCTTCGATTCGAAATTTTCGAATTATTCAGATTCGAATCATAAGGATTCGGATTCGAATCGAATCGAATTACATTAGATTCGATTCGACTCGATTCGAATTCGAATAGTTCGCACATCTCTACTTTGGACACGAAGCATAATAATTCGCTCGAACAAAACCGAATTTGGAGCCACGAATTTGGAACGGTATTACACGATCGTCTTGTCACACTCACCTTGCGAGAGAATGGACCGTTCTGCCGTTCTTCAAGTCGCCTACCATCGTGATCGTGAGGCCGTTTACAGTCCCGAATTCATCTCGTATCGTAAAAATGTCGAGCAACGCTTGCGTCGGATGTTCGCCAATCCCGTCGCCGGCATTCACCAACGGCTTCCTACAATGCTGCGCGGCTCTCTGCGAATAATCGTTAATACGCAAATAAACACAGAATGTCTCGAATCGTCTCAAGCTGTGTTAGTTTAAAATGGAGGAACATTGGCGAAACATTTTGGCTGTAACTGCTGCAATAGCTGGAAATAATTTGTTATGATCTTGTATTGAAAGATCACTATATGCGCGGAAAGCAGTGATGAAGAATTTGACAGGTGGAATCAAGAGGCAAATATTATCTGCACAATAAAACAATAATTATAGTTTTGCCAATGGTAAACAATGACTATGTAACTGAACTGAATTGTAAAACACGTTGTTTCGGATTTATATATTAATTACGTTCAGTATCAAACAAACAAAAAATTCTATAATTTTATAATTCTATAATTTATAATTTCTGTTTATATAATTCCGATGCAAGTGTATAAAATTACTTCGTACATCATCTTGAATAAGTAAATTCTCGTCAGAATTAAACACGAGGACATCTCCGCTCGTTATTACTCGATGTCTTTTTGTTAACGTTGTAATAGTTTTAATATTATCCATTATTCAATTTTTTTATGAATAACGATAGGTTAAACAATCATGCCGCACTGTTGAAGAGATATACATGCCGCCATAACACGTCACTGCTTCCACCGACTCCTCCTGCTTTTTCGGCGAGAGACTAATGCCCGTATTCATAATCAGGCCTTATATTTTTGGCCTCCTTATATCCATCTTTAGATGCTGCACGGATTATTTTATTGGCTACAGACCATCTGAAGATAAACTTAAGGAAACTTTAAATATAAGGCCTGACTATGAATACAGGCATTAGTGGTACTCGATGTCACTCTTTTCACGTTTTCGAACGACTACACCCGAGAGCATTCCGAGCATTTTCGAACGGCTAGTGTGTGTATTAGACGACACACGAGTAGTGTTTTCGAACGCAGCTCTAGACGTGTCTAGCGGTTAGAAAACATGCTTGTGTGTAAATAAAAATTTGTTACATTTCAAAATTGTGATTTTTTAGCTCAGGAACAGCAAGAATAAGTGACAGCTGTTATTGCGGTACTTAGATTTAAGAATTATAATTGAAAGGGTTGAAGAAAATTTGATTTGGGTTTGAAAATGTTGATTGTTGATCAGAGTGCAAGTGAGTCGGCTCATTTATTTTTAAAACGCGAGTTAAAACTCACCGTCACTGCATTTGGCTGCGGGTGTCTTAGTACCACTACGTCCGCGTAGCCCGCCATGACCGCCACGGAATCTATAATAGCGCGACAATTGATTAAATACATGAATAGAGAGATAATTAATTGTAGCATTGGATCAGCCAAGAAGCTCGGTTTGATTTTTTAGTCAAATCTGATTTTACTATATTGGATGGAAAAAGAAACTTGTCGTTAATAATTCTTGCTCAACGTTCTGGCGACGTTCGCTTATCTCTTTCGTAGAAAACGGTTGTCAAAGAAGACGAAAAGTCGAATGGAACTTTTCAATTGATCCGATATTTTGTATTTTAATACGTTTCGAAGAGGTTACACTTTTGCCGCGAGAAAACATACCTTCTAACGTCTCTCCTTTTTGAACTGACGACGTAGAACCATCCATGTATATCACGCGGCCACCGAGACGTTGCATCGCAGCGGCGAAGCTGCACGATGTTCTTGTACTGACCTCGTAGAAAATGGAAGCCATGACTTTTCCCTGAATATAAAAGACACTTAGATTTATTAACGAAGGAAACGAAGAGTTTCTCTCGTGTTATTTGTGAACTAGCGATCAATATTATTACATTTTATATTTAGTTTTAGTATATGTTCAGTTTTTTTTTAAACAAAAATACTACATAAACTTGTAGGATCAGTTAATATTTTAAAATGTTTGGTATAATATTATTTTTTGTTCGTCGTGATATATCCTTTGATTATCATGAAGCAGACACATGCGAAGAGAACGCGCAAGATTTAACTATTTTTAGATGGACACGAGTGAACACACACATATGTACATACACTAGTCATATTGATTGCTGGCGTCTCGCACGCGATATAAAAACTTTTCGTAGATCAATTACCTTTAAGATATGGTCCAAAGATCGCTCTTTTCTGATAGCATTGCGAAAGATTTCCGCAAGATAAAATATATCCTTCAATATTTCCTTATTAAAGATGTTCACGGTGAGCACATGATGGCCAACTAGGCTTGTGTGGACAGCTGGAGTTGAAGTAATGGTCATAAGGAGGTTCGGATTACTGTCGCTCTTGAACTTCGTGGCATTGCTGATTGGTAACGGAGACATCTTTTGAGAGAGCAGCGCTTTTGAATGTTCCTTCGTGTCGATATCCAGCGCGAAGCATACGTTCGACTTGTGGTCTTGAGTGAACTTGTGTGGCAATGGTTGCAGAAGAGGCGGTCCTGAAGACAAAAAGAAATAAAATATTACAAATAAAACACCATGTCATATCGTGTTGTTTATCTGTAATCTTAAGTCGCAAATTAATTTAGTCTTAGGTCGCACGGAGAAAAATGTTTGCATGAGAAAAGTTGCATGAATTAATTTTCTAGTAAAATATTGTGAGTTCTGCTTAATTAATATGCCAAGGTAGTCAGAAATATTATCAATTTCAACTTTCTGTCTTATTCTGTCAATTTTATCCGTCTATTTGCATGATATTTTTGCAATATTTGAATTATCGTACCAATCAGTTCCTCTTCGAATGAGTCACCAACACGGGGATCAGGGCGTGCGTTACATCTTTCATAATTCGGCGACAAAGGACCAAGCAGAGGCGGCAGTAGCTTGTTCATAATGTCTACCGCGTTAATTATTGGCGGAGCTTTCATCTTATGCTGAACATCTCTGATATCTTGACCAAATCCGGGATCAACCAGCACTTGTCCCTCGACGTAGGCAACTTCACCTCTTAAGATCACTCTGTGCACAGAACCGTGGACTTTCATGCCAGCGAAAGGTGTCCATTTCGATTTGCTGAATGGCAACTCATCTGGGATAATCCACTCTTCGTCCAAATCGACCTCAATGTACGTGTTACGTTGATCGGGGATGTTGAAGATCTTCATGGGATTCCAATGAAACTTGTCGACAATGTCCTACAATCATTAACCAAACCCATTTAGCATGTTTCGATGTGGTTCTCTTTTTTACTGAATAAAGTTGAAATGCATTTTCTTCCTTGGTGCGCAATTAATTCTTCTAAAACTGCTTTACATAAATTTGTGCAAATCTGAACAAACTGTATCGGTTATTGTATAATTTAGATATTTACAATTGCTTTATCTCTCTCTCTCTCTCTCTTTCTCTCTCCCCCATAATTTTAATTCTTTCTTCTTTAATTAGTCAAACCAATGGACTTGCGCACAGACGGAAGAGATAATACGATAAGAATAGCGCACGACGAGATTATTATAAAGATAAAGTTCGATCAATTGAAAAATCCCGGTAAGACAAACTTTAATGGCATTTCCGCGATTTTGCTGCAAGCGCAGTGGATTTATTTGTACGATTTTATCTCATATCACATTGCTATCAGACAATAGCGCTCATCTGTAATATAGGAAGCGATAAGCGTAGACGCAAGATCGCGTTTAAAACGATGCGTGCAAGCTGTTTATTTCAGGATCTCTCGCCGAGGAGCGATACGGGTTTCTGACGAACTGCTTTCGCCTTCGAGATATTGCGCGAGATCGGGACATAACTTTTATCTCAGGATCAAAAGTGGCAAACACAGCGTAAATTGCACAGTTGGTATCCACGTGAGAAGACTCGCGAGTGTAAAATCTGGGTAGGATTTTTCAGGAAATCACTCTTTTTTTACCAGTCACTTCAGGAGAAACAGAAATATAAGACTTATGTAATAAATTACTAATAAAATACATTTTTATGCAATCATCACTTCAAAACAGGCTTCACCTGTGGACGCGTTTCAATTTATTACGTCATGTCGAGCGCGAAGTTTATCTCTGTGTCGATATGACGTATATACGACACTCGCCACCCGTTATCGAGAGCAAAGTGTTTATCGGCGTGCCTAGCTCGTTACGCCAGATAATCGTTGCTGAAGCAATGGAGCAATGATATACTCGGACGGAAAAGTGAAATACCTTTATGGTCAGCCTTCCCTCGTGCGCGGCATTGAGTAGCAGCGGCAGGATGGTTTCCAGCCCGGGGAATCCTGGCGGAGGTTCACTGGAGGATTTCTCTTGCACGGTGTGCGGAGCTTCAATACAAACGATTGCGACATTGTGATTGACGGATCGGTATCTCTCGAGGAAACTCGCGAAGTAAACTCGCCCGAATTTTTCTGTTCCTTCTTAATCTTGCGACCGAACTTGCGCTCGATACGCGGCGAATTATCGGGATGCTCATTTTTTATCAGTAGTAGTAACAGTAATTGCTCATTATTTCTACTTTAATCCACGTGTTCGATATAATATCAATATTTCGGAGCGAAGGGTCGAATGTTCGTGTACGACTTAAAAGCAGAGCGAGGTAGATGTTATATACACGAATATGTTCGACACGGGACGTTCATCCTCTTTTATCGGCGATTCACAGAATCATGTTGATCGTTATCGTCGCGAGGCATCGATGTATCGAATTTATTTTGTAATCCTGATGACACGCGAATTCGTAAGCGGAGGACTTTACGATTTATACGATATTGCAGAGCTGCAGATCTGCAACGATCGCGGCGATGAGGTGATTTCACATACCATGATCGGTCGCGAAGCAGTCAATGACGTCCAAGTTGTCCCAGAGAGCCTGCTGGTCCTCCTTCGTTCCCAGGGTAGGCCTCACCTGGCCTTTTTTCTCACCTATTCGTCTCAAGTCGTCCTGGCAAAGGAATAAATGATGCGGACACACCTCGCACGTGACTGCCAATCCCTGCGAAAATGCGCAAGAGTTTACAAGTGTGATGTGAATTGATTTGCCACTTCCGGCACTTCTTCGTCCAACGATCGCGGAGACTGACGTTTCGACCGGTCGAATCGGTTTATTGCGTTTTATCGAACACCCTGAGGAGGCACTCACATGTTCCTTGGCGGCGCGTATAATCTCTATCTCTTCTTTGCGCGCCACGTGACACACGTGGATCGGTCGATTGTGCAAGCTCGCCAGCAGGAGGACCGCAGCCGTCGTCTGTCCTTCCGCGTGCACGCACACAGGATACCTCTTGGGCCAGCTCTCGAAGTGCTGCGAGCAAAGCACCAAAGTTCCGCATAAAGACTTTTCGCAACGATATCGCGTCTCGTCAAGCGTCTCGAGAAATGCATGCAGGCGTTTCGCGCTTACCTTGATCCAAACTGAGAGATCAGTGAGACGAAGTGTGGTAAACGTCTCGTTCAGGTACATCTTCAGGGCGGCCGCGTGAGGCGCTATTTCCGGCGTGATCTTGTAATTGTCCGCTGAGGCGCCGACAAACAGAGCGTAATCGCATCGCGCACCAGCCGCGGCTTTCTGCAACGGAGAACGAGATTGTTTCGCGTGTCGCCTTAACTCTTGACTTGATTTTACTTCATCGACTCCGCAGGCTTAACCCTTCATTCCGCACTTCTTATAAATGACCATTAATAATTATTTTCATGTGCAGGACTGGTCAAGGAATACAGGAGAAATTCTTTAAAAAATATTTCACTTATATTTTTTTGAAAAATAATTTCTCTCGTCACGCTGCATATCTGCAAAACTAGCGCAGACTGGTGGCCAATTCCTTTATCTCCGCTTAGAGCCGCGTCTATTCAAATAAGCAAGGCAATCGGCAATGTTAAATTCTGACTGACAGCAGAGAAAATCCAGTTCAAACATCTGCTTTGCAGATGTGCGAAGCAGCGCAATGAAGGGTTAAACGCGGGGGATTCGCGCTGGAAGAATATCGAGTCGAGATTTTCACGAGAATGTATCACACTACAGATACCCTCTTCGAGATAAACGTCGTCGAAAATACGCGTGCATCTTCGACCAATTAAGCGTGCAGCATTAACTACGGAGAGGGTTGAGATATCAACGCGAGATTAATTACGAGGATTAAAGTGTTAACGAGATATCTTATCGGGACTGGACATTCGCGGGAACATTCGCGGGCTCTCGCACGTCAAGAGGCACCGATATTCACCTCTTTGGCCAGAGCGAAGGTCTGATGATCCACCACCGCCGGATTAGTGTTGGGCATCGCGAAAATGATCGTGATACCACCGGCGAGGGCGGCCGCGGTGCATGAGGCGAAGTCCTCCTTGTGAACGGCACCTGGGTCACGGGTATGCACGTGCACGTCGATAAAGCCAGGTAACCTGAGCATCCTGTGCGACGACAGGCAGTCGGTGTGCGTTTTCAGACGCGGTGCTTGTCCGCCGACTCTTCTCAATGCCTGCGTGACGGAAGAGCGAAGAGCACTTGCATGTCGTTATTAATTGGCATGAGTGTTTACCGTCCGCGCGATTATGCAATCTCATTGAAGCTCGACTATACGCAGCACGCGCGCGCGATTTCCTTTTGAACAAAAGCGTTCGTTTAACAAAGCGGGTCTGCGCGCGCGCGCGCGAGTTTGTTATGACTGTCGCGACGCTTTCTTACTTGCAGGGAGATGTGGAAGAAATTTCTACGGAAACAACTGGTTTTCTCTATGGGTTGAGGCACCCTCGGTATATCTTATCGTACAAAATTGATGAATATATTTTATTTATTAATCTTTCGACTTTATCTGCACTTGCAAGTAAGTAACGCGATATCGAAAACTTAAATCACTTGTGACTCTAGATCGAAGGAAGAAAGTGGAGATTAAATGAATTATCATAATCTCAAGATAACTACTATGACTCTGCATTTTTGATTCTACTGATTGCTTCTGTTTTTTTTGATTCTACTGATTATTTCTATTCTTCGAGCTTCATTATGTGCGGGTAATCAGACGTATTAACAGCTACGAAAGATGGTTTTAACGTTTCAAGAAGATTTTGACAAAGATCGGAGAAGAAGTTGGCGTCTGGATACGCCAATGAAAAATATCAAAATAAATTTTGGAAAATCTTATGTAGAACGTTTCTCTCTCTGTCGTAGAAACGTCAAACGTTTCTCGATGCGAAAGCATTAAGTCGCGATATAATCTGAGAGAGGAATATAGGTTTCAGAAACGAACTTTGTGCCGTTAGTACATTTTATCAGCGATGCGATCAAGAATTTGTATGTAAGAATGAGTAATGCGACTTCACTTATCGAAACGATCTTTGATCTCTGACGTTCGGATATATGATGTAAAATATTATTTAAAGCAAGAAGGCAATGTCACGTAGTTCAGTGTTCGATTAATATATTCGACTAAATTATTTTTTAAAATGTACTTCACAGAGAGAGAGAGAGAGAGAGAGAGAGAGAGAGAGAGAGAGGGAGAGAGAGAGTAAGAGAGTTGATTTCGTTCGTCTCTGCGAAAATTCTAACATTTTCGAGAGGACCAGAGTTTTGCACGCTCACCTCGATCAATAGCTTCGCGCATTTGACATCCGTGATCAAAGGCACGGAATAGTCGACAGTAAGTCTCCTTGTCCTGTAACCGTGAGTCATGAATTTGGTAACGCGACGTCCACTGTCATTTCTCATTGGCAGATTGATCACGAGATCGAAGAGCTTCTGTGACAGAAAATCGGCGAGATGCCGACGCTCCATTGAATCGGGATCCTCGTTTATGGTGATGTCCTCAATCTTCTCGAAAGTCCATTGCACTGGTTGCACCTGTGTTGCAGAAATGAGCTTCTTTTGTCTCAAAAAGATGAGATAAAAATAAAATTAATAATAAAATTAACAATTTCTTTTTTTGTCACGATGTAGTCAGTCATTTTTTTTCAGAATTGTTGCTCCCTGCTCGCGGGTCGTGTATCAAACGCCGCGATCGCGGCGCGACGCCGAAAACATATGAAACAAAAGCGACCGTGGTAGCTTTTACGGAATTTCAGGATCGATTGGTCTTCCGAGTCAAATATCTCAAGCATGGAAATTATAATAAAAAATCTGATGACATTTTTCTTATATAATGTCTATCTCGCGTGTAATTTACAACAAGGCCGATCAAGATTGGTGCAGGAAATATGGAGATCTCGAAATCTCACCTGCAAAAAGGTCCTTTTCTTCGCTAAGAATTTCAGATTTTAGATCTCACATATACGCACACAAGCAAAGCGAGTTTGTCCTAAGCTGCGTTTGCATTGTCATGCGATGTCAGCTGCAGACACGTATATGCACGGATACAAGTAATGCGAGTTTGTTATCAGATGTGTTTGCAACATACAGGTTGAAATAAAATAAGCATTTCATTATCTCTGCTTTCGATTTAGACGCTTACGCATTACTTATATAAGAGTCATTCTATTCTTTATTGCTCATTATATGCGGAAGAAAGTTTCTTAAGGGACCGATTGATCGAGAATCGCGTTTCTTTCAGTCAAATTTTCTCTCGCGGAACCGATTATTTTTATTTTAGATAATAGTTAAATATAATTTAGGCAATTTAGATAATAGTTAAATATAATTTAGGATATATATACAAAATGGGGTTTAAATTAGTGCAATTTTCCACAATGGTGGAAGCATAACTAAATGGACATTATACAAACGTTGTGCATGTTAAGAATGTGCACAGAATGGATTTTAATTAATAATTCTAAAATAAAAAAATGTAGTTGGCCTCGAAATTCCAAAAATGCATACATTTTCTTTGCTGAAAAAGAGTAATATAATAAGATTTGTATATAAATAATTTACACAAAAAACAGTGAAATCATAACAAAAAGAAAAAAAACGCCGAGTACATATGAAAAGAAGTACCAAACCAAAAAATATAAAAAAAAACATACCAAAACTAAACGTACCAAAACAAAACGTACTACAACCAAAATATAGCTAAAATATAGCAACACAAAAAGTACAAAACGAACATTTAAAGAAACGCAAATGTTTCATTAATTTTATTAAAAAAAAATGCGACCAATATAATTAATCAAGTACATAATTAACAAGTACATGATTTTGTTCATTACCAAAGTCTCGTGAATGTTTCTGAACGATATGTGCTACATAGTATATTTTTACGAAGTATACCGTAATTTATTATATATTTATTATATTAAATTTATTATACTCATTTATTATATTTTTATTATGTTTTATTATTATATTTTTATTAAACGGTGAAATATCTAGATAAGATATTAAGGGAAAACTTAACATCGAGATCAAAAACTCGGCGTGCCCTGAGCGTTGAAATGTATACACATATATATACAAAAATATATACAATATGAAATATATACAAATATATAACCACACACACACACAATTTAACATTCTAAACATTTATAATGAAAAATAATATATTTAAATACTATACTATTTCAATGCTCAGGGCATGCCCATACACTTCTCACGATAGATACCTATAACTCGTCTAACTAGGTATCGATCGATATCTGTTACGGGTGGCAGGCAATGTGTCATTTTTTATCTGCCGGAATTCCTGCAGGAAACCCTCGATCCGCGTAAAGTCCTCTTTATCCGCTGAAGACGCGAAGATGCTTCCCGTCGCGAGAAGTGAGATGATGCCAGATATCGTAAAGAAAACAATATTTATTTGCGACCGCTCGATGCATTGTTCCGGGATTAATCTGCAATTTCCGAGTTGTCGATAGGGAGTTCATTCTCGCTGATTAGATAACGGCCGCAATTTTACACGCGGTATTGTTATACCTGACGTCAGACGCCCAAAGAGTTAAACCTTTGGCCGTGTGTGTATTCATCATCGCACTATGTTGAACTATATTACGTCTCGGGAGATTGCAAGTCTACGTGTGATAAATCCATTACCATACTAATATACCACCGCCCCACTAGCCAAATATAACGCCCCACTGATATACACGATGTTAATGATGATGAGCATTTCTTATCCGACGAGTAGCTATTGTGGAAATGTTGCGCCGCGACCTGTCGGCTGGTACAGGTGGTACGAGGAAAAGCGATTGCGTTTCTGCCTAGAGAGAGAGAGTTACGGCTGAACAAAGCAGCTCGCGATGTTACAATAATCTCGCGACGATATCGACGACTATTTTCCCCTCCCGGCGATTGCCGTCGCTGCTTGGATAAAGTTCGTAAGTTCGTCAAATTTCGCAAAAAAAGACTCCACGCTTCGCGCTCGTACTCGCTCGCACCTTCCGCAAGATCAATTACCGATTAATCAGCCGAATAATCGCCCGACTGCTGCGTGCTTGTGTGCGGCACGGAGTTGAAGTGCCACGATGGTATGATTAACGCGAAGATAAAAAACGACATTGCTGATAGAAATCGTTTATTTGACCGGGAATAGACGCGATAATTAGATGAGAGAGTAGACGCGATAATTAGATGGAGGAAATAACGAGAGGAGGGCAATTTGGGAGAGCAGAAGCGAAGAGAGAACGCGGGGGGGGGACCATACCGCCGGGATCGATCTGGAAACGAATGGAAGCGAGTTCGCGAGTTTCGATCGGCGCACTGCTCGCTGTCGCCATAATCACACATTGTCGAGCTCATCGTGATAGAAAGCTGCTGGTCATCGGCGAAATATTACCGCTTTATCGTATCGATGCCAGTGCGATCTTGCACGAAATATTTTATGCTGGGCTTGTTTGCAGATAGCCAATAGTAAGCGGCCGATTAAAAGAGCCCTGCTTGATAACGAGATAGCTATTTATCGACAGCGACACCCCGCCAGAGGACTACTGTCCCATCGCTCATCAACGTGTCCTCACGTACGCTTGCATGTACAATGCCGCTGCCCGGTCTCCTCGAGCTCACGACCAGCGTGAAGAAGTCTTGGTAAACCTGTGACGTGAAGCTACGTGCTGAATCGCGATCTTGACCTCGAGGACGCGTTTCTCGAGCGCGGAGACAGCCGCTCCAAGCATCACGTGTCAAGCATCGTGTTATGCGACTCGGTAGCAATTTGCCAGCGAGAAGATGGGGATCACGATGTCGAAGATCAAAATCGGCCCCTGGGGAAAAGAGGCTAAGGGTGGGTCCAAGGTGGTCGATACCCCCGGCAGCAAGATGGACAACTACGAGGACATGGAACTGATGCTGCTGAGGAAGTCCATCAAGAGGAATCCGGAGATTTTTATTCTGAACAACCTCATGCTGTGTGTCCAGTTCTTTGAGAATTATGAGGAGTAAGCACTCGTTCCGGTTGGTGTTCCTCGCGGTGGTTTTTGCAATTGCGAGACGACGCAGTGTGTCGATCGAGAGGTGTAAAGAATGAAAAGCAACCTCGGAATGGAGTTAACGCTCGGATGTTGCTGAGATATTAACGATGAAGCCGTTGAGCGCGCGAGATGGTGAAACTTTGTGCGTCGTTGAATGGGTACGCGTGTATCAAATATTCGTTGTGCCGTTAAGAGACCGTGGCAGATCTCCGCGGCAGTGGAATTTATTTATATAATACTGATTTATTTCCAGAAGATGACCGTATCGTTCGTATCGTGTCTAGAAAAGTGTGTACGTAAAAGCGTGTGAGAACATTACTCGGATAAGGCGTATTGATTCATTAAGATCGATACCATTTGACTTGACTTAATCTAATCTAATAATCTGTAACGTGCACGAAAAATATTTTTCGCCGAGATAACAATTGTGCCGAGAGAAAGCACATTTGAATTGTTTCAATTGTTTCTGTTCTTTAACTTGCAACCCTTGGCCGCCCGTCGCCATCGCGCTCGACGATTGCTCGCGTACGCGCTTGGAAAGCAAGGAATCGTCTATTATACAAGAGTTATACAATACTTAGCAAGTTACATTAATTTAATTTAATTACCTGAATTGTTCATCAGATTGGTAGTTCTGCAAACGTTCATATCACGTACGCTCATAGTACGTAATATAAAAAATTTCTTGACAACTTTGTACGTATATAGTTCCACTTTTACTTCTACATCGCGCGCGGCGCGTATGTATGTGTGAATTGTGTGATGCAAAAAATAATCGACATGATCGGTAGGAAAGCAAGTTAGCCGAGCTGCACCGATCTAACGATAAACTTCCATTTCAGAAATATCATCCAAGTTAAAAAGACCCTGGCGTCGTCCTCCGAAGCTAAGCTAAATAAGAAACTACCTCCTCAGAAGCACGTTTTGATGCCGGATGTTCTTCAGGAACATGTCTCGCACAATGTCGCCTTCATCTCGACGCGACAGACCTCCCGTCCCACCATCGAGCCACTGCACCCTATCCGCATTTACGTCGTGCACGACAACATCGAGATCACGGAGCAGCATTATCTGCCGGAGTACAGCAGCGTGAACAATGAGATTACATACAACATGATGGTGAAACCGAGCGAATATCAAGGTGAGTATAATATCCAGCGCTTTCCAAATTCCCGATCTTATTGCTTACGATAAAGAGTAAAAGAACAATTTGGAACGATGAAAATCATTTCCCGTTGAAATGATTAAATCCAACAGTTCCTCTTTCAATGCATGTACGTTCAATGATAGCGGAATCTAAACATCATTGATGACACTTGCTGAGAATTGAGATGAAATTCCTCCGAAAGAAAGACAGAACTTCAACTCTTATTTTTGCTGAAAAAAAAAAAGATAATTCCCAGTGCAAGAAATATGACGATAAAAGCTGCATGTCGAAAAAAGAAGAAAACGCAGCCCTGAGAATAATCCTAATAATAACCAGAGTTACACGTGTCCCGCCGACAGGATACGTGCGGCTGGAGCTCCTCGACGAGACCCCGTACACGAAGAATTCCGTCAAGAAGGAAGATATCGACCCTTCAGCGGAGGACGACGACGAGACATACAGCGACACCGACAGCATCTACGTTCCCAAGCCTGCCTCGAAGATGGTTCGCTCCCAGAAGATGAAGAAAGGCAACTTCCAGCCGAACAATGCTAGATCTTTGCCAAATTTGCACAACGACGAGGCCATGTACAAGGACCAGGCGTACCACTCGCGTGACAATCTGTACGAAACTCGATCCAGCCACGACATCAGGCCCGAGTCCGACTACGAGCATGTGTCTTCAGCTTCGGACGACCGGTTGACCAAGAGAGCTTGGCCGAAGAGCGAATTGCCGGCAAAGTCCGGAAACCATCAGCGACAGGTGTGTAGCGGCGCGACAAAGTTGAAGAAGATGAACAGCCGCAGCCCAGCCGGCAGTACGAGCTCTGGTTACCGGTCCGGGCATTACGCGGTCGACAGCGACAGCGACAGCAGCTATCACGTCATGCAGTCGTCCAGTGTGCAGCTCAGCTGCAACACGAACCGCGACGCAGCCTCCTCATGCAACTCTCAGCATAGCTACAGCGACAAGCCGATCGCAGACGCGTCGACGGAGGTTTACTCGATATTGAACTCAAAGATACCGCAGCGGTGCTTCAAGAAGATCATGCATACCCGAGATGGCAAGATTTACGACCCGCGAGAGGAGAAGAAGCTGCTGCAGAACAATAAGCAACGTCGCCTTAGGATGGCTATAAGGAGACGCAACTATGAGGTTTCTTACATCAGCAGTTTGGAGTTCATGAGGCACTTCGTTAACCTCTACAAGGATCAACTGGGCCAGCTGTTCGGCTTCGACCAAGAGGATTTGGACGAGGTGAAGCCTGAAGGCTCGGTCATCTACTGCGACAAAATCATGATATCTCACAATTCTAGACTCTGCAAGGTCGAGTCGTACGAGGTGACGCCGGCGATCTGGCTGCAGTGGCCGGAATACTCCCAGGAGTGGTTGGACCGGCCGAGAAGCACGTGGCCGACCTACAGTGACATCAGCAAGGTGAAGGACTTCGGCTGCCACATGGTGCCGGAAGGCTTCCTGCCGAAAAAGGGCAGCAATCTCTACCACGAGCTCGAGTGGCAGCTGATGTTCCCAGCCGCTGAGCGATATCTAGAGACCTGCATGACGCACTCTCAAGTTCAAGTGTACCTAATCGCGCTGATGTTGCACAAGAGCTTCATAAGACCAGTCTTCGATACCATGTATGGCTTGACGACCTCCCATATTAGAAACAAGATGTTCTGGTTGATCGAAGAGGACGACAGACCCTCAAAATGGCCCGACAATCGGACCGGCGAGTGCCTGATCAAGTTGCTCAACGGTCTTTACCGTTGCCTCAGTCAAAACGAGCCGACCTTGTCGGACTACTTCGTCCGCGACAAGAACGTGTTCCAGAGAGTGCCGTCCGACCACTTGCTGCATACCCAGAAGCAACTGAAAAGGATCATCGAGAACCCGGTCATGTACTTGTTCCACGCGATGGAGAACATCAGGCATAGCGAGAAGTTCTTCCCGCGGCTGAACTACGAGATGCTGCTGAAGATCTTGACGATGGACGCGTTGGCCCTGGTGAATCCGGCACTCGGCCAGTCTATGTTCATGTCGTCGGCGTCGTCATCACGATCGAAGGCGCACGATGAGTCCCACATGGCCAGGGACGAGATCTACAATAAGCCCGGCGGATTCTGGGACACCGCGAAGTTGCAGACCGAGAAGAAGATATACACGCGAGTGGTCACCAACAGAACGTTGATCAATCCGCGCAGGGCGACGGACTCCATTATCGAGATCTCGGTGAGTTCCTCGAGCGATAAGATGCCTATCGATCGACGTTCTTAACGAGCCATCCAGCGCGACATAACATTATCGTAACTGATCGTGAAAAAGCGCGGGATCAGCCCGTGACTTGTACACGAAGACTTCCCGCGAATCTAATCTTATCTCTCTTCCTTTGCGATTAATAGCTCAAGAGTCACGGCTAACTCGTGTCTTCACTTCTTCCCTCTTGTTTTTTGCTCTAGGTGCGCTGCGGAGAACTGGAGGGTCCAAGGCTAGGCGCTCTGTTGGACTTCTTTGTCAGGCACTTCATAAAAATGGCCGAGCGCTGTCACCAGTATCAGGCTTATCAGCAGAAAAAGGTTTATCTCGATCAGGCGGATCGGCTGTCGATCATTCTGTCGGAGGTGAGCAGATACACGGACGACGCTAAGGCTTATCGCGACAAGATCTACATTCTGAAGCTGAAAAAGACGAGTTCAAGGTCACAGCAAAAGGACCTCCCGGAGACACCCAAGAGGAACGGCGAACCTCTATTCGTTGGCACTCTGAAGGACCGTTTCATACGAGAGGCTGCCGATGTCACGGTAGAGCCTAAGGAGAAGCAACCGCAATCTAGTCGTGAGGATTGCAAAGACAAGGTCGCCAAGAGCACCTTCTATGAGGTGCGATTCGAGAATAAGGATAACACGCAGGTGAAGCCTGCGAAACCTGCGAAGTCAAGCGAAGGCAAAAGCAGCGAAATTACTTCTATCTTGAAGAACCCCACACCGAGGGATCAATGTGACGAGTCGGCTTCTAGTACAGCCCAGAAAGTAGTTTCCTTAGCGGATAACCAAAATGACTCGTTTCTAACGGAAACGACATACATATAGCACGTTTACTGAGAATAGGACGTGGATGATTTGTCGGGGACGAACAATCTTTTCTTGTTGGCAACAATACGTAACAATATTAGGAACAAATTGAGGACAAGATAAACTAAATGGTATTCATTGTTGTCATTTCGAGAGGGAATGAGATAATCAATTTAGGTAGAAGACTGAGCGTGCTTATCATCTTGCCGAGTTGTCAACATCCGACTATCATCGAGTTATGTAAAAAGTCAAACGATTATCAAATCGTAATCAAACTTAGCTTAACAGTAGCAAGCAATTGTTGTTTTAGTTAAAGTTGTCTGACAAATTCACTTAAAAATTGTAATGTTATTGTGTACATATACACACACATACACTGTGTAATATTATTTAGTTTATTTAAGAGATTGCGTTGCCAGATTACGCATGTCGAAAGAAAGAGAGAGAGAGAGAATCTTCTATTAAAATATATTCTTATTTAATTAATTCACAAAAAATTCTCACACACACATCTTTCTTCTAAATCATTCTTGTAAATAATCATTCTTTTTCACGCGTGTATGCCGCATGAATGATAATTGAATATTGTGTTCAGCATGGTGGAATAATTAATAAATACTTTTCTCACTTACCTGAATTCCGTGCGTCGTGTAGAAGTCGGCGGTACCCATACTGGCATACAGTTTGTAACCCATGTCCTTCAGGATCTTAATAGACGGGAGCATTTGCATTTTGTGCTGCAAAACAAATCGATTGTTTGATACATCATGACGGAACACGTCTGAGTCTGTAAAAGCTATCGACTTCTTTATGACGAAACGTTAAAACGTAAAATGTCAATCTTGCTTTGCATATGATACGAGCAGTTGCGATATTGCGGGTTATCTCGAATTTGCAAAGCTAGGAGCGAAAAGAATCGTCTTGTTCACGTAACTCGATTACCTTGTAAGTTCCTATAGAGAGTAGGATGCCTTTCTTAGGTATGTGAAAGCCAGTGCTCATCATGCCTTTTAAATAAGCTTCGTAACGATTGTCACCGAAGCAAGCTACTTCGCCAGTAGATACCATCTCGACACCCAGCGTCACGTCAGCACCTTTAATTAACATCATCAGCATCAATAGTATCGGTCGAATTCAGATGACTTTTCAAACTACGCGATAGACTTTAATAATTGGAAATTTTCTTGAATTAAACCTCAGAGCAAAATGACATTTTCTGCAACTAAGATCTGAACAATTCCAAATTGTCAAAGAATTAATTATGCACGGGGAAGCGAGTTTGTTGCATACAGTCGTTCGCAAAACCCAACGCATTACGTAAAACCCAACACTGTTTGAATGTGAAAAATTAGTATTCGCTAATTGCATGTAAATGGCTATGTCCTTACCGGTGAGACGAGAGAAAGAAAATTGGGGCACTTTAACTGCAACTATTCCGCAGCCGCCTAAAACATCCACGGGATCGACTCGTTCTCCAACGATGATGCGGGTCGCCATCTTGACGAAATCGTGATCCAAGGTTTTCGAGACGAAAGGAAAAGATCTTGACACTCTTACGTTACTTTCGATCACATTTAACTCGTTGTCCTGGGTGAAAAAGAAAATACATGTTCTAGCCTTGATCTCCAACTTTTCGATGATAACAATTCCATATTAGCCGTTGCTCCTATTTTTCTACTCGAATATTAGCTATTTTTTACTACGATTTTCTTTCAATCCTGAATCCTTCAATTCTATCCTGAATATAAAGCGTACAGGATCTACCTTCGCAATCAGCTGCATGTTGAAGGGACCGGTGACTCCCAATGACGCTGCTACCGCTTTGGAAATATTTTTTATCTTCATCAGAGTCTCTGAATTAATGTCCTGCGGCGGTGTCACCAACGTGGCATCGCCCGAGTGCACGCCAGCATTTTCCACGTGCTCGGATACTGCCATGCACAAGATTATTCCTTCATAAGCCACAGCGTCGACATCGATCTCCTTTGCGTCGCAGATGAATTTCGATATTACAACCGGGTGTTCCTTGTTGACCTTGCTCGCGTGGATCAGATAAGACTTAAGGTCCATATTCGAATAGGCGACATTCATTGCAGCTCCGCTCAGTACGTAGGAAGGACGAACAAGGCATGGATAGCCGACTTCCTCGCAAAATTCAATAGCGGAATCCAAGTTCGTCAGTTCTTTCCATCTGGAACGAAAAAAGCAATATCTGCAAATTGTGTACGAAAAGTCGAGTACGCGAAATTATGTGTCGAGTGGTTCCCTGCAATCGTTCAAAAATATAGACTGCGTATAATATATTTTGTTTCTTTTTTATATATAGATAAATATACGTATTTCTTGTCCATGTTACTAAAAACATTTCTACCGTTCGCCTTAATTTATTTAAGCCTTGTAGAAGAGTATGTTTTCACCTCACCCTTATTCTAGCTACAATATTCTGCGACAAAAGTGTTACGCTCATAGAGCGCGCGATGAAACTATATTATTTTTTATCTTAATATTTAACAGGGACCGTACCTTGGTTGTGATATACCGATGTTATCGAGCATACGAGAGAACTTGAAGCGATTTTCGGCGCTGTCGACCGACTCCGGTGAGGTCCCGAGTATTCGTGCCTGCTGTCTATGAAGATCCATGGCAATATTGTTAGGTAGCTGTCCACCCATGGACAATATTATACCTTCAGGACACTCACTGTCGTATATATCCATCACCACCTCAAAGGAGATCTCTTCAAAGTACAATCGGTCGCTCATGTCATAGTCCGTACTAACAGTCTCCGGATTATAGTTCACCATGATGGTCTTGCGCCCAAGACATCGCAATTCACGCAGACAACTTACGGCACACCAGTCGAACTCCACTGAACTGCCAATTCTGTACACACCCGAACCTGAGGGAGACATCGTGCGATTTTAATAGAAATATGTGACGAGACCCCCGACGAAATTTATACATGGATTATACATAATAATATATAATTTTTGTATAATTATATATAATCCTTTTTTATCGAGCATCGTACATATCTGTGATTTTCTCTATCAAGGAAGTTCCATAACTATGATGTAGATGATGTAGTTGATGCGATAAGAAGAAGAAAGAGGAAAAGTAATAGTTACCTATCACCATTGTGTACCCGCCAGGAAAGTCCACATCGTGAGTAGTGCCGTTGTATGTCAGATAAAGGTAGTTGGTGGTGGCCGGCCATTCAGCGGCCACCGTGTCGATCTGCTTGACTATCGGTAATATGTGATGCTCTTGTCTCTGCAGCCTGATGGCCAATTCCGAGCTTTTCACCACAGCGGCAATCTGCTTGTCCGAGAAGCCTATTTTCTTCGCGCCTAGCAGCACATCGTGCGAGAGTTTCGTGTGGTCGGTGTTCTCCAGGATCTCGTAATAGTCGATGATGTTCTTCATCTTCTGGAGGAACCAACGGTCTATCTTAGTGAGCTCGTACAGCTGGTCGATCGAGTGGTTATTCTTGATCGAAGCGGCGAGCACGAATATCCTCTTGTCGGTTGGGTTCATCAGTTCCTCGTCGTCGACCTGCTTCACATAAGGATCGAAGCCGTTCACATTCTCGTCGGCCATTCTCAGGGCCTTCTGGAAAGCTTCCTCGAACTTACGGCCGATCGCCATGACTTCGCCCACGCTCTTCATGGAACTGCCGATCTGAGAGATGCGGTAATATTAAACCTTGACTAGTCGAGCGGATCTTACCATGTATCGAGTTGCGAATGTCGAAAACTCTTAGCCTCACCTTGGTGCAGACATGTTGGAACTTGCTGAGATCCCACCTGGGTATCTTAACGACGCAATAATCGAGACTAGGCTCGAAGCAGGCCGTGGTCTTACCGGTGACGGAATTTTTGATTTCCGGGAGGCATATCCCCAGCGCCAACTTGGCCGCTACGTAAGCCAAGGGATACCCGGTAGCTTTGCTGGCTAAAGCCGAGCTCCTGGACAGTCTAGCGTTCACCTCGATGATGTAATATTTCTTGGAAGAGGGGTGCAAGGCGAACTGAACATTGCACTCTCCAACAATGCCAAAGTGCCTGGTGACTTTAATGGCACAAGTGCGCAGCATGTTGTACTCATCATTCGACAGTGTCTGGCTCGGCGCCACGACGATCGACTCGCCGGTGTGAATGCCGAGAGGATCGACGTTCTCCATGTTGCACACCGTGATACAGTTATCGTAGGCGTCGCGTACAACCTCGTACTCCACCTCTTTCCAGCCCTCTAGAGATTTGTCGATTATCACTTGGCTCGAGTTCGCCAGAGCCTGCTGGGCCAATAGCAACAACTGTTTCTTGTTGTTCGCAAATCCTGACCCGAGACCGCCGAGTGAAAACGCAGCGCGCGCTAAAACGGGATACTCCAATTGTTCCGCGGCCTCCAATGCCTGTTCGGGCAGAAATGATTCAGCATAAAATTCTGATCGCTCGAATCTGCAAGAATTTGATCTTCACGACACTGTATGTGGTACGTCGAATAACATTGGTCGCAAATAAGATAAGTGCGCATCGATCTCGTGAAATCGCGATCTCATAGTACGTACATTAAGAAGGATATCTCAATTCGTGGAAATTCGTCCAAATTCTAACAATCCGTAAGAAAAGACGTTATTTACCTCTTTGATGGTGTGCACAACAATGCTCGGCGCTGTGTACTCATCTATATCTCTGATTTTTTCCGTGAATAACCCCCTGTCCTCAGTAGCTAGAATCGAGTTGATCGGCGTTCCCAAGACCTTGATATTGTACTTCAAAAATACGTCTTTCACGTGAAGCTCCAAGCCGCAGTTGAGCGCGGTTTGTCCACCGAATGTCAACAGCACACCGTCCGGTCTTTCCAATTGTATTACCTGAAGAGAATTCATCGGATAAGGGGATTTTCACGTTAAATGCTTCAAGAATTTCTTGTCGGCGAGCGATGGTCGATTGAAACCCAACCGACAAAGTTGTCGATGCGGTCCAGCTTACCTGCTCAACATATTCCGGTATAATCGGCAAGAAGTATACTTTGTCGGCCATGCCTTTTGAAGTTTGAACCGTGGCGACATTGGGATTGATCAGCACAGTCTGTATCGACTCCTCCTTCAGTGCTTTGATCGCTTGCGAGCCTGAATAGTCGAATTCTCCGGCCTGGCCAATGCTAAGTCCGCCTGAGCCCAGGATCAGGACTTTTTTCGGTCGAGTGAAGGGCGAAAACCAATTGTCATTCATTTCTAATGTGAATTTGTCGTAGATCCTCTGCTTTATCGACCTATCAGAGTAACCCTCGATCTCGTCTGACACGCTCTCTATGAATACGGAGAAGAGAAATTCCAGATCCTTAGGACCTGCCATGTGTTCAGGATGAAATTGAACGGAGAAGTACGGCAGGTGCGAGTGAGTCACACCCTCGTTGCTGTTGTCGTTGGTGTTGACGAAGAGTGGGCACCAACCTTCCGGCAGCCCTCGCGTGTCGACGCAGAATCCATGATTCTGCGAGGTCATGAAGCAACGTTTGCCGTCACAGTCAAAATAGGTTACCGGCTGATTGTGGCCCCGATGACCGTAGCTGCAAATGAATGACAGACGTCGCTTATAATGATGGACAGTTGTAACTTTGTGCCGCAGGACAGGCAGATATGTTCGGATGAAGACGTGCTGATGAAGGAACAGTATTGTTCTTTTTTTCTCGAGCAACAATACAGGAAAGAAATGTCCGGATTTGTGAGGTTTCCCGGAACAGGATATGTGTTCAGGAGGAGGACACGTTTCGATGATTAAATTCTCTGAATCTGTACTGACAGCAACGTGTCATGTTGCAATTGTGTGTAACAAGAAGTATCATTTAGCTAGTAGAGATATGGTCAGATGATTGCGAAAAGTATAACGCACAGTCGAGATGCGGAATTTCATTGACAATGATAATCGATAGTATTTGCAGCACGAGATAACTTGATAAAAATTGGACCATCGTAATCCATATGTAACGCAATACGTACTTCATTTTATAAGTGACACATCCGAGGGCCAGACACAATAGTTGATGCCCAAGGCATACGCCAAAGATGGGTCGTTTTTTCTTAGCGTTGCTTTCCTCTTCCAAGAACGCCTGGATATTTTTTATCGTCTCATGACACATGCTGGGATCACCTGGGCCGTTGCTGAGAAATAGGCCGTCGCATTCGATCGTCCTCAAATCGTGGTTCCAAGGTACGACGTCTATGCGAATATTATAATCACGCCACAGGCATCTCAGTTGGTTGTACTTCAATCCGCAGTCGACTACGCATATGCGAGGACGACCTTCGGGATTGTACGTTTTCGGTGTCGACTGGAAAGTGATGTGATTATGTAAAGCGCGATTATGTTGAAGGGACAAAGAAAATGTCGATTTGTAGAAAGAATTTCCAATAAATAATACTAATTTTCCCTCTCTCATATTTCTAATACTTTCTTAATTTTATAATACGCTTACGTTTATAACAACAATATTCTGTTATTTTATTTACTCTCCTAGCATTAAAGACACAAATCAACATTAATGGCAAGAATAAAAAATTATTAGGATTTTTATTTAGAGTTACTCGTCCGTCAGAACTGTATAAATTCTTTACTCGAGAAACTTCCGCTACAAGATTCCTTTCGTTGGGATCTTCTATGGGCGGACATATCACCGACATGTCTGGTGGCGGCTGGTCGAAAATTATCCTGCCCAAAATGGTGCCCTTCTCACGAATGACTTTCGTAAGTGCGCGTGTATCAACATCGTAGATTCCAGGTACTTTTTCTTCTTCCATCCATTGGGATAGCGTCTTTGATTGCTGCCAATGGCTCGGATTCTCACAAACTTCCCCGACCACGAGTCCAGCAGCCCAAATGCGATCAGACTCCAACGTACTGCATCGAAATAAATATTTATATGATAAATATATTGGAGCCAGTGTTAATATCAATTTTACAAATTATTAATGCTTTAAAATTGAGATTATAAAGTTTGTTTGTGTCAAACGCGTTGAAGAGACAAAGAAAGTGTCGATTTGAAGAAAGAATTTCCAATAAATAATACTAATTTTCTCTCATATTTCTAGTACTTTCATAACATATTATTATACCATACTAACAATATTGTTGAAAAAAATATTGACAAATTATCAATTTACTTAGAAATTATGTTTGCAGTCTTTTTATGGTCAAAATTTTTGTCAAATATGTTCCGTGTCAAATCGTTTCGATTTACATGAGATGTATTACGATTAATATTGTTACTGCGTAAATTCTCTTTAATTGACTCCAAGTTCAATCTTGTTGCGACCACTTACGATGGTAAATTATATTTCAGGTCAGGCTCATTGAAGACACCATAATTTCCTATGAGCGGGTATGTGAGAACCAAAATTTGGGCGTGATAAGAAGGGTCTGTGAGTGATTCCGGGTAACCAACCATACCGGTCTGAAAAACTGCAGAAAGATTCTTTTCGTTATTTGCACGCGTAAAACGTACGCATTTTTTCGAGAAAATACAATCAACATTTAAATCATTTAAAATATTAATCATTTAAAGACGCGCTAGTTATTTCAAACATTTCCTATAAATATATAATTATTTCCCTTTCGATTTGAGCACTTGGCTGTTTGACCTCTTACTCCGAACGCCTCAGCTTCGTATTTTTGTTTATGGAGAAAAATTTATTCTACAATATTGTAATGTTAATTTTACACATTGTTGCGCAGAGCTACGACTCTTATGTATGCTTGAAAATTTTCCGCCGAATACAATGCGTTAGTCAGCGTTACAAAGACCTTTGTTCTGCAAACTAGACGCGCGCTTATCTAGATATTCATGCACCGTGACTTTCTATTAGATACTCGGATGCCGCGAGGTACGATTCGTCGTACTCGCGTATGCAACTTTGCGAACTCGCCGCCGATTGTTGGCACATCGAAATATGTTTAGATATCTCGTTAAACGATATACGACGGGACACACGGATGTATTATGTTTATTCCAAGAGATCTGTCTTACACAAGAGTGTAACTAAACACGCGGCTCGTAATTTTCTAAACTCAGCACAAATTACCCGACGGTGTGTATTTAATAGTACTACCACGTGTTGCAAACGTAATCGTCTACGTGGCTTATCACAAACCAGTTCCTAGACAGGGATGGATGCAAATAAGCAACGTCGTTCGAGTTGTTGAAGTATTCGAGACGGAAATATTTTTATTTCGCAGCAATGACCGTGCGCAGTTTTCTTTTTAATTTTTTCTTTTCATTTTTCATTTCTTTGCAGTCATCGGAGTGAACGTCGATTTAACGCAAGTTATTATTGTAAATTTTCATGGACGAAGTTCGAAGTAAATCGACACTCATCTGCTGAATTTGGATGTTGGCAGATGTCAGTAGATGACTGGCTCGGCCTAAAAGAGCATTCTATATCGCGCTGTGTAAATAAATATATTGTCATCATATCTGTAGATTTTGTAGCGGTAAGACGGCGGCTTGATCAAATATTACCGTGTCGCGCACAGATTTAGAAATTAACGATACACAGACTTTCCAAACCACTCGGTAAATTTCTTTCTAAACATTTTTCCTTAAAGAGAAAAGGGAAAAAAAATATTTCCCTTTATATTTTCATGCCAAATACGAATCGCTATACTTCACGCACTTCCCGTTTACTATCACATGCGAGAGTCTTTAAAGTACGCGAGGAGACTCGCCGGCGCACTTCCCGTTTGCGCATAGCCCACGCGGGCGACAGCGGCGATATCGTTGCCATTCGCAACACGCTGATACGAGAGATCGATAAAGTATTTATCAAGTGAATGAGCAGAAGCACGTGGACCGCCTCGTAAGCGGAGCGCATGCAACGGCCGAGACGCGAAAGTCAGCTCCAAAATGAGCGCGCACATGCACGCTCCGAGCAACACGTGCTCGGGAACGAAGTCCATGCGAACTCACCGACTTCGCCGTCGACGGATACCTTGGCGCCGAAGTGTTTTCCTGGATAGACACTACCATCCTGCAGGAGGAGATAGCAGTCAGTTTTGCCGTTGAGTCCACTGGAGACAGGCATCGTGAATTTTGCGAGATGCGTCTTTCGCGCGCACGTACTATTGAATCGATGCCAGCCGACCTACTGCGATACGTCGCGTACTGGAGCACGTTTTTGCTTTCTGAGCGTTCCAATGGAGCCGTACGCACGCCCTGGAGCCGAGTAAATCTTCGAGCACGACCAATTGCTGAGCTACGTTCCCGCGTAACTGTGTCCGACGGTATCACGCGGGTCACGTGTTGAGAAGTCCCGGCACTGCCATTGGTCTCGGCGCTTCGGATACGCTAGGGACTCGGGAATGAACGATGCTGGCCTCACAGTGGCGGGAAAATTTTATCGAGCAACGCGTATCGACAACTCGAGTCAGTATCTCGGTTTTCACCGAGATTAAAATATCATTTGACAGTTCTCGAAGATTTCACACGTGGAGAAGGAAGTCCCTGGCTTACGGCCAGGAATATTCGGATAAACGTGACTCAAAGCCGTTACGAGTTTGGCAGATAAATGTATCTTTGCATCACGACATCGTATATTATAATGTTTTGAATAAAGGGGAGTTGGCATTTACGTGAATCTTACTCGATCAAAGTACGGACGGTGTGATTCCTCTTTAATGACTTTTCACTGACTCCATTGGAAACCGGATTAGTCGTTTATTAGAATTGAAATGGGAATAGCTATTTTTTTTTAATATATCATTAATATAATTTACAGAAAGCTTCGTTAATGTGTGAGAATGATACATGAATTTAAGACTGAACGAACATTGTATCGTGATGAGTGTCGGTTAATGTAAAGATTTATTCAGAATAGAAAGAAAAAGGAGAGCAATCTTAAAGTATGAAAGATTGTAAAGAACATTGTATTTTTTAATATTTCGAAAGGTTATATTTAGGAATACAAGAGTAAATACTAGAATCTTTCCTGAAGAATTTAGAAGGAACAATATCTTTTTGTGCAACAACAGTATCTTTCTGCTTTTGATCAGTTCAGGATTCTCTAGATATCACAAATCTTTCGTTTGTTACGTATCTTATCCAAATAATCATGATAGAGATTCTAGCCAAATAGTACTCGTGACAATGGAAAGATAGAATGCGATTTGCATTCTATCTTTCCATTGTCACGATAGGAAGATAAGATTACGCTGCTATTCTCTGATGTTTCCAACGTCCGGTCGAATTATTTTTCTCGAAACGTATTCGATCGGCAATTAGCCCATCCCAGGCATACCAAAATTCCATCATCTCGGGTGCTAATTTATAAGCCACGCTGGAAACAAGTAATATTAATTTTTCATAAAAATATAACGCTTTATGTTAGTTTTTCTTTTTTTTTTTGGAAATATGTATATACATATAGGTCATACAGAAATACATCCAAAATTTTAATATTCTTTAATTAGAGTCTTTGTAAGCGCAAATGAGGCATTATATATTAATTAAAGAAAATTATAAAAATAGCAAAATACTATTGGCAAACAAGTAAATAACTCGAAAATTTTTAATTATTCTTTCGCTTCTAATAAAATTTATTACCTACAATCTGCGAGATTAATAATACTACATAATTTTTTTATGATAAATATAGAGCTCAGGAATGTTCACGTTTTGTTTATTATAAATTGTCCAGATTAAACCAGGAAACCTACTAGTGATCCGGCATTGTTAGATTTTCTCCATTCTTAATTGCTTCTGTCATTTCACTATACCGTCGATTCAAATCGTCCCAGTCGGCTGGTTGGTCCTGATGACACAGATAGGATCGAATTTTATGGTACAATGGCTCCCTCTCATATATATGTTCATAAGCCGGTTTTTCTAGTTTCTTCATCGTCCCTTCTATCCTCACCTAAAAATCAATATTTCTCGAATTTTAAATACCTACCAACGTTATGTGCATCTGACGTTTTAAGCATAATTATATAATGCATAATAGAAAACGAAATTTATACACGATATTAAATAAATACAAATGAATATGATATGAAAAGATTTAACGGATACAGTGGTAAAATAAAAGAAAATTTTTAATAACAAAATTATTACAAAATTAAATATTTACCTGTCGCTGAACTTTATGTTGCTTGTCATTTGTATAGTCCCAAAAGAAACACATGGCAGTATATGGATTGTGCTCCTACAAAGGAAAAAGACAATGAAGAAAATGAACATTTAAATCATCTTCCTGTGTTTTAATTTTTATATACTTTTATTTTCTCAGATAATGTGTTAAATTTTCTGGAGTTATTTCAGTTTTAAGTTTTATCCAATGCTTTTCGTAAAACAAACTATTTTCGGGAAAGGATTAGTAACAAAAGTTATAATCATACAACAGTTAACTTTGAATAGGTCCGTACGGGATTTTAATTTATGTGGTACACTTGCAAAAATAACGTTGAAGACAAGAAAATTACTAATAATCGAATGAAACGGATGCAATAATAATATTTACCACATCGTCGACTTTTCGACTACGCGAATCGGTCGTGATGACAAAACCGTCGTTATCAAATTCACGTAGTACTAAATTTCTTGAACTAATCTTCAAATCCCTGAAGTGTAGAATAAGTTTAATATATATTTTATCACTAGTCCAAAATATACTTACTTCGAAAGCGTCGCCAAACAACAAACGTCTATTATTCCTTTGTGGAATTTTATCACTTCGTCACGCCACATTTTGAAGAGATCAACGGGATTATCAACTGCATCAATATGCGCGAGGCCCACACAATCGGCATCTTTTGTCCTCTCCTTCGCAAAAATATAATTAAACTTTTTATATTCAATTCTTATCGTGTGAATTAATGTGAACAAAACGTTGTATATAATAAAAAAAAAAAACAAATCTCTTACCATGACAAAATCTTGATCAGAAATGATACTTGTTTGTTCAAGCAATATGCCAAGTCTCTTTATACTAATAACGATACGTGGTATCGTGTTTTTCAAATTTGTATGTTCAACTATAACAAGAAATGAAATAATTATTTAGTGTGGAGATAACTGATTGCATAAATTTAACTGTAATTACTTAAGGAGTTTAATTTATTAGTCGAAAGTAATTTACCGTAAAAGACAAAAGAACACTCCACCACTTTCGTCGGCAGATAGTCGTACGTAACATTAGCGGTACGTCTTCGACTCACAGTCGCAAGCAACGTTTCGTTTCATCGATCTACCTAGCATCCCACTCTCTCGTCGTTTCTGCCACGATTCTGCGCAAAACGCGGCTAGCTAGTCGACACGTGTATAACATGTGATATAACTTAGCAACGTGGAGCTGCGATCGTCTATTAATAAAACTCGAGTAAACATTAACTTTACGCGGTTCTTTCAAATGTATGTTCGTTGTTAGTTTATGACATAGAGTATATACAAGTAACAAAAGTTGCGTAAAACACTAGATTATTATTTTAGGAAACTTTAATGTGTGAACAATCTTACAAATAAAAAATCTTTTTATCTATCTTAAAAATAAAATTGCATCGTAATCGTTGAAGTAACGGCAGAAGACTTAAAGCTAAGATACAAAGCGATTATGTATACATATGTAGAGCAATAAATGTATATATATATATATATATATACACATTTTTTCATTCTACATACATATATAGGACAAGAGAAATAAGTTAAAAAATTATGCCACGGTAACAAAGGACTTTCATGTCCTAGATTAAGATACTTATATTTACAAGAACGCAGAATACGATTTCTTCGTATCCGACGAAGCAGCGCGCTGATAGCAGCGACGAATGTGATTGTCTGTTAGCGTACGATAACGGTATCGCGTAACAAATTAGCAATTTCTATCACAATTTTGTTCCTCTCGGTATCAGTTCCAGTTTGGAATGCAATGAATGTTGCGAGCTCTCGTCCAACGATATTTGTCGAACAATAAACTCGAAGTCTCAGGCGATAGTGGACCTAATCCAGTCAATATGCGACGAAATTTTGTCGTACAGTCGAGGTCTCTCGAGGCCATCCTTCGAACAGGCTATCCTCCAACTGCCAATGCCAGTCAGTGCCCATTTCCGACTGTCTGCTTGAAGGCACAGCATTGGACTGCCGGCGAGCTCCTCCTCCTGTTTAAAATTTAGCGATAAAACATTTCTAGAATTAGTAATTATTAAGAAAAAGTTTTTCTCTTGGACGATGAAAAAATGAGATGTTTATTCTTAACGTAGATATGAGTAATGAATTAATTCAATTGAAAATAATTGTAAAGAAAGACGCAGGTGAATGTTTCTATTCTTAAATAAATCTTGACTCACGTTACAATCGTCCATGGAGTACGCCTGCTCGGTGCAAACACTGTTTACCGACGGGATGCTAATGTTTTCACACCTCTCCATCGCGCTATGTTTGAGCTGTACCCTTTGCAGCAAATCGCCTGTGTTAAAAAAGAATAAACACCATATATCCACACATTAAGAAATTTCTTATTCCGTATTTGACCGAAGAAATAATAATATTGATATTTTGAATAAATATATTATTTTTTCTTAAATTTAATTCGCAATATTCTGTTTGACATAGTACCAAAGCAATGTTGTGTGAAGAACACGAAAAACTTAATCATATGAATTCTTTGTGTTATCGTGGCGCTATATCTAATCCAATGAATACATTTTTGGAATCCGTTTTATTAATAAAAGATATATCGTGCTGTTAGGACATCAAACAAATATTCTAATAACTTCCGATGAAGCGGCGAGAAAAGTCAAATTTTCCAAATGTTTGACAGTCTCGAGTTATGGACAAAAATCAACACAAAACGATCGCCGACGTACGGTTTCTAGCCCAGCCGAGAGTATTGCATTGCGACGCGTTGCTCGGTGGATCTTCGCTGGAGGGCAGGCAAACCGGTCTCACGAAGTCCGAAAAGGTCGTCACCGGTCTGTCCAATTTCACCAGAACGGTCGTGCCTTCCACCGGTGATTTAATCATGCCGACGATTCTGCGTTCTTGTTGCCAAGGCGAAGTGCTCGAGAGTCGTACGACGCCAAGTCTGGCCGACCACTCCGCTTTTGGTTGGCTACAATGACAATCGATCCCGTTAAAATTACAATGCGATAGAATTCGTCAGTATAGTACGCCATACACCGTATAATAAAGCGACTCGGACAATGCCTGTGCTCACCCTTGGAAACAATACGCGGTCGTGAGCAACCAGTTATCCGCCACAAGAGTGGCGTCGCAAACATGAACTCCCTCCTTGAAGAGCGCGACATGCCAGGGCCAGTCGCCGGGTTCTGCCATTTTATTGAGACCTTCGGTACCACCGTTGTTGCGCAAAGGTTGCACCCCGCATTCTGGTTGCCGGAAACGCATGCGGTGAGATGCGATAATATAATAAATAATAATACAGATGAAAAGTACATCACACGCAATCAGGCGATCAGGCTTATTGCGTGTGACATGTTTGGGAAATTAGCATTCCGTACCGAGATCAGAGCATCGAACGTACAGCACTTCCTTACTGGGACAAGGAGCCCTGACGAAAGTAATTTCCGGCGCTGATGGATCTTCCATGTATACGTATGGTACATCCTCTTCATCGTCAATTCTCACTTCAACGGAAGCCACACCGCTACAATCGCAAGACACAACGATCTCTGTGTAACGGTCTTTTTCATCGTTGTACGCACGACGCGAATATAAAACTCACTTGTTACTGCACTTCGAAAGTACATTGAAGAAAAACTTTGGCAGAGCGGAGCTTTATTGAGCGACGCGAATACTTACGTGTACGTGAGCAAAGTGCACAACGAACTCGCTGCCGTTTGCAAAACATTATCCATCTCGGTGTCTGGGAGGGTGGCGTTCAAGTTTGCCGTGCAAAGTTTCCCGACGGTGCCCTTTTCGTTGAACACAACGTAGCCCTCTTTATTGTACCTTGCGGCGTGCGGGGTGCTCCACAATTGCGATCGTAACGCATGAACGCTCGGTGCCAAAGACACTGCAAAGTTGCAACAAAACTTATGATAACACGCACAAACATTATTACAATAGAATTTATCGAGAAATCTCCTTCTCTTGGAATTCCTTAAAATCTTCCTGAAACCATCCGATTTTCAACTTTGTTGTCAACGCTACTCGTCGCACATTACTCACGGCAGTCCTTCTCGTCGCTGCCATTCGGACAGTCCGCTTTGCCGTCGCACCGTTTCGCGTGCGGTATGCAGGTTCTTCCCACTCCGCAGTGCATGTAGCCGTCTCGACAATAGGCGCAATTCTTCTCGTCCGAGAGATCCGGGCAGTCGATCACTCCATCGCAAATCCTCGGCGACAGCGCCTTCGATTGAAGCGCTTGGACGCATCCTGTCGCGACACGCGATGTATCAATTTTCAAGCTCATCGAACGCGCTACCGTTAGTGTCTCGCTTCCGCGAGGAGAGACTCTGGCGGTAATCATCAAAGCTACGATGCGGCCGCGGTAATTACTCTCACCTGGTTTCGGCCTGCAACTACCAGGGTCAACGTACTCCGGGAAATTGGAGCAATCTAAGGAGCGTTTAATCTTCTCAGGAAGTCGACTGCCGCATCCGTTCCAGAACTCCCTGCAGAAGCTGCGACAAGGCAGTTGCAGCAGGTCCTCCGGCTGACTCGATCGACACGCGGGCTGCAATACCTGGCAGACGAAGTCGTAGGCCAACGGATAGCATTCCGCGTCCACCAGCTCCCTGGTTTCGATTTGTAATCATTAGGCTTGATTCACACTGTTACATCGTTGTCTCGTGTACACATTATTTTTATTGCTTTAATTATGTAATACACTGAAGAGTCAGCTATGGTGAAACGCCCGTGCTGAAACCGTTGTTACTTCTTCGCTGGTGCGACAGTTATTTCTTTCCGCTGTAATTTTGATTTTGTGATGCCAAAGAAGTTATTTTCTCCCGTTGATAAAGGTGGAATTAAGGTATGGCTGCGCATCATTTACGATTTGCTTTATCGGTCCGCTGTGAGCTTAACATGCAAAAAGAAAAAGTACCTAAAAGCGATGACATCTTCCTCAACATCTGCCAGCGACCGGTGTCCCAATGTATTCGGATACGAGCTGATATTGTACGGCAGATGTTTGCAGTAGCCCAGGTCCAGTTTGCTGCATCTCCTCGGCGGAGGGGCTGTCGTCGTCGGCGGTAACGTCGAGACGGTCGATTGCGGGCTGAACTGCGCGTTAAGGGCTTTCAGGCTCTCCTGCACCTCAAGGCTCTTCGCCTCTATCGTCAGGTTCGCGAGGTACCGCGAAGTTTCCGGGCTCAACTCCCGTGATAGAATATCCACAATATTGCCGGTGGTTATCGTCTGGTATCGCGGGTCGAACTTCACATCGAAGTGCACCACCAAGTCGCGTCCTTCAGTCCTGCCGTTCAATGTTTTAACGCGAAAGATATATGTTAAAAAAGTTGTCCAGAAAATAAGACATCAAAGAAGACTTATTAACGACTAAGATGCTTCTTTGGCCACCCTTTCATTTACTTATTTATTTAGATTACTTTAGATCACGTAATACGTCATACTTGCATTGAAAGCGAATTTTTATCCCTTATCAGTTCGCTAATCAACGAACTGTGCCTGGCGGATGAGTCGCAGTGGCGTCTCCCGATTCGCTTGGGAATTCAGGAATTCGCGGCTGCTCGACAATTTACCGATGAAACTTGCAATCTCCACGTGAAAGATCCCGGCGGGGCGGGGGGGGGAGGGAGGGAGGGGGTAAAATCTCACGCGAATCGCTTTCTGAGATCACGTTGCGACACACCGCAACTCTCTCGCCTCGCGGCCGAGCACCGACGATAAATCGGTGAAATCCGCAAGCTCGTGCATGATACATTATTGATGAACGTGGCAGCGCCGATAATGGCGGCAACATCTCATCGCACCCTGAATGGAGCAAGTGTCGTGAGAGATCACGAGAAAGCTGCGAAGCGATCTCGTTCGATTTCTCTGCGGCGCGCGTAGCCGGCGGGAGCTGTCTCCGTCAGTTTCACACAGTGTCAGGTGTCTTCGCGCGGCGGCGTTCCTTCTGCGAAAATCGATTTCTCGAAAGCAACAGGAACCGGCCAGGCCGGCCGGTAGGAAAGATACCCGGCGCTTGTGTGCTTTGTAATCGGCCAATTTTCTGATCGCTGATACACGGCGCGTTGGATATGCCGTTGCATAATTTGTCTCCGCAAGGCACCTCTCTAGGGTGTGCCTCGTGCGACAGCGCGATGTAATTACAGGCGGCGAGGTGAGAGGCAGACGGAGACGGACTCGAAATCTCAATGCGAGAACACGCGCGATACGCATCTCCTGTTTCTAGCCGTATTATGTTCAATTAAATCCCGAGCAGGAAGTAATACGACGGTTTTGATCGATGCAGCCACGGCAGACTTTACGAATTACCCGTCAAGCGCCAGGACGTCCGCTGAGAGGAATGATAGCTTCAGCCAGCTGCGACGGAAGATGAGATTCAGCCGATCGCGATACTCCCGCGATCGCAGCCGGAAGGCCTCGGTGGTGGGATCTGCCAGCTCCGCGGTGAAGGAGTCACCCTTGGTAACTCGGAACGTCGCGAGGAATACCTGATCGCCGGGCGGGTCCGACGTGAGGAACGTGTCTGTAATGAGAAGAGCAAACCTCTAGTTCCATCAACAAGGCGCGAAAATGTGGAGAGAATGTGGAGACAAATCTCGGTAGATCAGCGCGACGACGAACGAGCCGAATGCGTTTGACTTCGAGAAATTTTGGTCCTACAAACTGGAGAGAAGTTATAATTATAAACAGAATTTTCGGTTTTTATATTATATAAAAGTCGAAGACCAAACCTTCCGATCAAATCCTTCGACCGAGACGGCGTTCGGCTCGTTTATCGTCATCTTCGCATTAAATCATTCCGTCTCGTGGTTTAACCGGACAAACACCCGGCTAATGAACAATTTCGCCGCGGTTTTCGCGCATCGAGAGACACGTTGATGAACTCGCGTGTGACAGAATCGCGGTGACGCCGCGGGGACGCAAACACCGATCGCCGACGCTTGAGACGGCTGCGAAAATGACGGCGGTTATTCCGCTCCGTTATTGCTGTGAAAACGCTTAATAAATAAATAATTATAATGCGCCGCTTCGTTAGCCGCCGCCGCCGCCGCCGCCGCCGCCGCCGCCGCCGCCGCCGCCGCCGCCGCCAGTCGCCGAGTATCGCGCGTAAGAATTTGTTTACGAGAGGCCCCGGCGGGATAATTCGTCGAGTGCCACTTACGGGACGACGAGCCGGCGCGATGACGAGCTCGCTCGTCCTCCTCAGCGTCCTCCTCACGGAAAACAGCAATCTGACCGAGCCGAGTGGCCACAAAGGAAGGAATTTAGAACGTCGCGACTTGGCGCGCTCAGGCCCCGCCGCCGTAATTCGCGGCGTATCACAGCCTGGCTTTCTAATGTATGTACGATCGGCAAATGATAGAGCCGAGCGCTGCCGAGGAACGTGCCAACAATGTTGCGCCGCGGAAAAGGCGGGTTTCTCGCTCTCCGAGCGCTGTCATTACAACGTCGGTCGGCCGGTCGGCCGGTCGATCGCTCAGCACGCGCGCGCGCGCGGTCAATTTTCCGCGAGCCAGGCGATACGAGAGACAAATCGGGAGCACGCAGGTGCCCGCAGCGATCCTTGCCGCCCCCTCTGCCCCCTCTGCCCTCGTGGGTCGTTCACGTAGGTTCTCGGCAGCTAGGAATCACCTTTCACCGGGCGGCTCGATTCTCGACGCGATTCGCCCCGCGAGAGAACACCTTCCTGACCCCGCGCACTACAGCCATGGGCGGCGAGATATCTCTTTTCCAGAGATAACGAGATAATCGCGAGAGGCTCTCTCATTAACTCCGGTAGTAGGGATCTAGCACATGCGACAGTCCCTCGCTTGTCTTCTTTCGAAGCTGGGATGAGCGACGCGACGTGAGAACGTCTCTGGGTTTCTTCGGACGAGTGTATGAGATTCTCTCTCCCTCTCTCTCTCTCTCTCTCTCTCTCTCTCTCTCTCTCTCTCTCTCTCTCTCTCTCTCTCTCTCGTCTCCTCGGAGCGAAAGAAGACGCGGAGATTCTTCTCTGCTGCGTCGTTAATGCATCCCTGAGATGAGCTCCGTCCAGGTCTTGTCGCGTCGATCGACGGCAATAACGCCACGTTACGCCTCGTCACTTAAACGCGACGCCTATGATAAGGTATCTCTCCTCGCGGATACGCGAGACGCGATTTCCGAGGCGCAACGCTCGCGAGATACTCGCGCTGTGCAGCCGCACTTTTCTCATGTGTGACTAATGAACGTTGCATTATCGCGACGCGCGAAGCCAGAAACACTTCCTCATGTGCCTGTTGAGCGCATGTGAGATAGTTGATAGATATAAATGGCTCGGTCTGACTAAAAATCAATCCATCTTGCTCCAGCGACGTGTACGGCGTAATCTAGAGGTGCTTTTGTCTCGTCGAGAGAGGCAATGAGATCCTGAGATAATCCTTCCTGGGCATGAGTCCACACTGGGCGTGCATCCGGCCGCTTCTATTTCTGGATTCTCAGCAAGAACATTTCCCAAAGAGACAAACCCTTCTAATCATCTTGATTGCGCGTTTGTCCGTCACTCCGTGAAAACTTGCGCTTGTGGGTGTCAATGGTGACAAAACCGAACGGGGCGCTCGTGGGCTAATCGGCGATGCGAAGCGAAAAAATGATGAGTAGCCGACGCCTAAAGTACGTACGATATATCCTAAACTATCATGAATGAACAAGTTTCAACTGTAGCAAAAAACTGTAGTAAAAAAATGCTCTCCGACAGAATCGTGAAGTGCGGAACGCGGAGATCTAGATATGGAAATGACTTTTCGAGGCAGTCGGCCGTTCTACTGTAATTTCGTCGATCGTGGAATAGGTTACAGTGCCGCAGGATCTCAAATGTTTCAAGGACACGAATCCCCACCTTTAAGGTCGACCGTTGGACTAGGCACGTACCAGCTCGGCCAGCGCAACTCGGTCAGACCGTTATGCCTTTGCCAGCTGGAAGACCTCAATGGACCGGCACGATCGTGAGGCATCTTCCCCGTGACCTCTTATTCCTCTCGATCGTAAACACGAATTAAGCGGCTGCGAGAATTGCTGACTTCGCGTCGCGCCGCCTCGCTGTATCGCGCGTGCGCGCGAGTGGAAGTCCGTGTTCGTTGCATCGCGGCTGAGCCGAGCTTAAATACGCTGTAAATAACCGTCGATGAATTCGCGATCGCCCCCGGCGAGATAAGCGGCGGTGTTACAAGTCGCGAAATTCATAGCGCCGCGAGTGAATCGCGCTGCGACGCGCGATAAAAATCGCTGCCGGCTGATCGGAGTCGAGAACAGATAGAGCGAGCGCGAGTGAGGAGTAGAAGATGAAAGGCAGAAAGAAGGTGATGCGGCCAAAGCCCATTGAGGTCTTTCAGCACGCACGCATAACGGTCTGACCGAGTTACCGAGTAGCCGAAGAAACGTTAGTGTACACTTCCGATCGAACCTCTTGCCGATAGTCACGTTGATTTACCGATAAGTGCCCGACGCTCTCGGAGAGGGGAGAGAAGTTCCTTCTCGTCGGAGACGAGAGAGTGTCACAGCGGCGTTAGGACCGTTGTGTTTGTTAATTATTTTCATATACGAGCGATTTAGGTGATCGAGTGTATTTAACAGCGTGACGCGACCGAAGGTGTTTATTGCGTCGATCAAAAAGTTTCTTTCGATTTTCAGCGACCTTCTTGACGCACTATTGAAAAAATATTATAACAAAATTATAACAAAATGTTATAAAAATATAATAAAAACTTTCGTCGGTCGTGTCTTGGTGACAAACATCGTGATCGCTTATACAGACTACAAAATACGGAGACAGTTCACAAAGAATCCTTTCTTCGAGGAAAGAAGTGAACCTTTCCCCTTCCCCGAGAATACGAACGATCCGTTCGTAGACTGAAGCCAAGGAGCAAGGCACAAGTGCGATGTTTTTCTCGAAAGGTGTTCTTCGAAGCTGAAAACCTCCTACTTAACGTCACCGAGATCGATGATTTGACGGTACCGGCGCTGATCCGAGAACAATGCTTCCTAACATAGCACAGAGCAAGATACAACCGTTTCCACTTCCTCCCTTCGTCCGAGCCTCGTTCTCGTCGTGATGTGTTACGCACGGTAACGCGTGTGTGCGCCGAGCCACACCAAGGTGATACCAAGGTGAAGTGCACGCGCCTACGAGTGAAACGCCATTCATTCGAACAAAGCCGAATCGTCGCCGATCGCGCTTCACAGTTCGCGAACTGTTCACGCAGCGTGAACGCGTCCATCCTCCCGGTCGCGCGATGCGTTACCGGGATAATTTCATGCCCGCTAGCTCGCCGATTGCCGGTTTAACAGTGGAATAATTTCATTTGCGACGCTGCCCGCCGCAAGTACGCAAGAACGGCGCGAGTGAAAGCGGCGAGACGTTCGCGTGACGAAAATGCCCCGACTCGGTAACGGTCAATGAGAGACGAGAGAGGCGTGTGTTTATAACAACGTCGAGGCAATAATTATAGCGGCGAGATCGGAGTAGGACGTAACGACGATCTAGCATGCACATTTCGGATAATAACCGATGAGTATCGTCAGCGAGGAGTCGATTAAATCGTTCGGTAGAACACTCGTCGAGCGACGAGTTTGTTGCTAGAGAGGAGGATACTTTGAGCATCAAGCGACTGGCTAAAGCCCGTGTCACACTACGGATTGAAGATTGAAATTTGACCAATCGGAATAAAGCAAATTAAAACCGAAGTTTGTTGATTTGTCAAAATCTAATCTTCAATCCGCGATCCTTGATCTTCAATCCGTAGTGCGACACGGACTTAAGGCCTGGTCTACAATACGTGTCGTAAGTTGTAAGCCGTAAGAATTGGCGAATCACAGTCGATTATTACAAAAATAATCGGCTATAATTGGTCAGTTCTTACGGCTTACAGCTTACGACGCGTACGCAGGCAGTCTGAAAAGTTCTCGACCTGACACATACATGGCATTAGAAACTGTCAAACTATGATTGTATCGGAAAGTGGCATTCCTGATATAAACCCATGTAAAATTTTATTCGATCTGTCAAGTCATTCGAGTAGTAGCACCAGTTGGAAAAGCTTTGTGCAATATGGATGCCGCATTTGCTAACAATTGACCAAAAGCGCATTCGAATGCGTATTTTTTCTCAAGCGTGTTTGGATCGTTTTAAGCGAAATAAAATGGATCTCAAGCGTCGTTTCGTAACTGTTGATGAAACTTGGATCCACCATTACACAGCAGAGTGAAAGGAACCTTGCGGAATCATACTTTATTGAATTATTGGAAAAACTGTATTTGGAATAAATGTATTAAAGTTTCAGGAGATTATATTGAAAAATAAAACATATTTCACGGCAAAAAATTTTCTTTCATTGTTAGGCCGACAACTTTTCAGATTGCCCTCGTATTGTAGACCAGGCCTAACGACGCCTGCATCGTCCGCGCATTGCGTGATGGCGGACTCACTGCAAGCGAGAGATCCGCGATCCTCTTAATTATGTTTGTTAATCATGACGCGATGTTACTGATGAGTCTCTCTTAGGCGGTTTTCTTAGGCGTCCACGAAACTGCTGTCTCCCGCGAACTTTCGCGTCGTCAATGAGCAACTTGCAGCCTCTGCGGCGGTGTACTTACAGCCAAGATATATGGAGACGCCCGAGAAGAGGAGGAAGAGCAGGAAGGCGGCGAGAACGCAGCATCCGCAACGATATTGGCCGCCGAGTTTCCTGGTGAAGCGGATGTCGCTGTCGGAAGACAAGATGGAGCTTGGTGTCCCGGCTCGGCTGAATCTTCTGGTACTCACCGTGCTCACCGAGATCTACGAATGAAGATGCACTTGCATTTTATATCGGCGATCTCGACGATGTAGGAGACGGATATATACTCGCGACAAGCGAGAGATTGAAGAACAGAGGAAAGTGATACCGACGAGAAATAAAATAGCAACTGAGAAAAAAGACAATCAATCGCCAATGAAACAAAAGGCTGCAAGCTCTGTAAAAATAAAAGTTTGACGTCTGTCTTTAATTATCTCTAACATATGAGGAGAGTAACTCGAACGAGAGAGCTGTGATATCCAGATTTCCAAGATCTCTGGTTGCACAATTGTTTATTTATTCCGTACACTTTTTCTGTATATACTCGGGATTACTGTTGCTAGTAACAAAGTATAATCCCGGTAATGACAAATCGCGCATTACGAAAGGGAGATTGCTGAAACAATCCGGCAAAATAATAGTGGGCGGTGTCTCACCGCTGATGAAACATCCCATTCTCTCTCGTAGCGTCAATAAATTTTTAGCAGTTCGAAAGAACGAGGATTACCGCGATTCCTCACTGCGGCACGACTTGCATTAACGATCGCATCGCTTCCGTCTCGGGGCCGAAACAAAGCGAGACGATCGCGAGCTGGTCGCGAAGCCCGCGCCGGAGTGAAGAAATAACAGTTTATCAACATCTTTGCGCTTAACAGACCCGACTGCGCTATCGCTATCGCGTGAGATCGACGAGCAAGCAAATGAAGAAAAGAATTACGCGCACGATGCGCGTATAATTCCGTCTCCGAGGCGACTCAAATTAACAAACGCATTAACTCCAGAAATGTATACTTTCTGATATAATCGGTAAATGCAGAGTAAGGTCTGGCGAATCCCACGACATTTAATTCTGCCTCTCGAACTTTCTTCGGAGCGAAAAGAATGAGAGCCTGCTCACGGTTACCGTTTTAGAAACGTCTTAGAGAAGAATACAAACGTCGCAGGAGGTGCTCTCGCTGTGAAAAACACGAGAAAGTCCTGAGAGGTTCGTCGGGCATCGGTAAGAATGTACGTACGCGTTTGAAAGGCGCGCGGTACCGCGCAAAAATAGCCTCGACGCCTCTTTATTTGTCTTCCCGCGATTACGAATTGTGCGTTATGCAACGATGTTTTGGTAAAAGTAAACAGAAAAGGGTACACCTCACCGATTCTTTTCATTTTGAAATATGTTATAAAGGATGAAATTCTGAGTGACTTTCTCTGAGATGCAATTATATGGGGGGTCGCTTATAGTTTCTGAGATATTTGAGACTTTAAAGTTTTATAATTGTACGTTGAAGTATATTTGAAGTAGACAAGCAGAGTTTCCATTCACTTTAAATATTGGAAACAGTACATATAAGCGGGAAAGGGGCTCCGCCCATCCCCAAACAAATCCTAACCTAATCTAACTTATTGCATCTTTATATATTTTTGGACATTGTTGAAAAAAGTTCTCTTAAGATCAATCACCTGGCTCAACTTAACTTATTATAATATTCGCATGTAATTAGGTACTGTGGCTTTTAAAGAGATCTTTTCAATATCGCCCAACAGTATATAAAGATGCCGTAAGTTAGGTTAGGTTAGGATTTTTTTGAGGAGGGGGTGCGGGGAAGGGGCAGAGCCCTTCTCCCGCTTATATATATTATATTATTTCCTATATTTCTATGTATATACTATGTTTGGATTAACCGTTTGGATTATACTGTAAATAACGTCAGCTTATGATATCTGGAATTTAATTCCAGGATAATCAGGAGAATTCCAAAAACTTTGAAATCAAATATAGTTGTATCAGGAAGTCACTCAGAATTTCATCCTTTAAAATATATTTCAAAATGAGAAAAACCGATGAGGTGTACCCCTTTCTATATATTTGCCTCTACTTCAGATATATTGGGTTGGCAACTAAGTGATTGCGGATTTTAAATAAAAATGAAAATTCAAAATTTGAAATTTGCCTTTTTTAAATTTTTTTCAATGCATGTATGCGATACATTGAGCTTCTCTGCAATATCATCACGTGTTGTGCTATGACGATCTGAATCGATAATGGCCTTGATATGGGTCTCATCGACTTCAACTGGACGGCCAGATCGTTGAGCATTTTTCAATGAAAAATCACCAGAACGAAATCTGACAAACCAATTTTGACACTGCCTTTCTTTCAAGGCTTCATTCCCATATATGCGGCACATAACTTCTTATGTGCTTGCGATGCGTTCTTGCCTTTTCGGAAATAATACAATAAAATATGTCTAAAGTGCACGTCTTGCTCTTCCGTTTTTAAATTGGGATAAAAACAAAACTAAACAACTAATCGATATAATTTTTGTACTAAATGAAAAGTAGAAGTCCAAACAATAAGAAAAAAATATAGGTTAGGTACTTTGAACACGTTAACGAAACAAAAGAAAGTGTAAAATCCATCTGTCGACAAAATCCGCAATCACTTAGTTGCCAACTCAATACTTCAACGTACAATTATAAAACTTTAAAGTCAAATATCTCAGAAACTATAAGCGACCCCCATATAATTGTATTAGGAAAAGTCACTCAGAAGTTTCTCCTTTATAACATATTTCAAAATGAAAAAAATCCGTGAGGTGTACCCTTTTCTATATTGGTATTTACCGATGTTTTAAATGAAGATACGCGATCGCGACACGCGCCGCGCCGCGCCGCGCCGCGCCGCGGCTGCTGCGTGCGAGACGGACACGCGGTGCCGCCGCATCGATCCACGAGCGATTCGTTCGTTCAACGCGAATATTCAAGCGCTCGTGTAATCGTCACGGTGTAACCTCGTCGTCATCCGCGACGTAGCTTCCCCTCGTGTGCATACACGTTGCAGACCGTCGCAATGCAGCGCGCGCCGCGATATACCTACGCCTTCTGTTCGCTCAAATGCTACGCCCGGCACACGCTCCGACGCGAAGGATCGCGCCTGCAAGCAGGATGGGTAATCAGCTTGGATACAGTCGTTGCAAAGGTCGCACAGAGCAGTCAAAGAACTAAAATCCGCCTAAATCGCGCCAAGTAGCTCGCTCGCGTACAAGTGTGACAATCGATTTCGCGTCTGCTGCGAGACAACAATAGGAACAAACGCGTGCCACAACGCGTGTAAAATCTATGTCGTTGAAACTGGCAACTTGTAGTCGAGTAGTCACAAGTTGCTAGAAGATATTTTTCATGTAAAAGTCCAATGTAAGAGGATTTTCCTGGCGAATGTATTTGCAAGGTCGTAATAGGAGATTTAAGACGTCTCAGATATAAAGTCTCTTATATTTCTAAGCAAGCTGTGGTCATTTTAAGTGACATAAAATTACGTGTTTGTTATAAAATCAAGGAATGATTCGCGGAAGAAATGTAACAATGATGATACGTATTTCTATGAAGATTTGAAACAATATGAAATTTAACGGCAGACGCACTGCTTAGAAATTAATACAAGTTGATGTATGCAGTTTTAGCGACGTTTTAGCGTAATCCCTGCTTACTCGAGAATAAAGCGAGTCAACGGAACCTTGGACGAATTATCTATCCTCGGAATACCGAGAGAATTTGTCGTTCCACAGTACAATTCAATCGTGTCATTTATTGTCGAGTTGTATCAATATTTAGATAGGAAAGCAAACGCTTAGTCGTTTTCAGCTGAGACCCCGGAAAACAAAAGTGCACAGGCAGCGAACTAAACGTTAGGTAATAGTAAATATATCCAAACAACGTCCGTGAGAGTTGACCCGATTTTCTCACGCGACCTATGTATGGGAACTACGACGCTTAAACACAAACACGCATTACGTGTGTTTGCTGCCAGCTGGCAAGCGAGATATTATCGCAAACTTTATTTCTTTCAATCACTTCCGCGCGCTGCGATAGCACGCCCATAAGCGTTCATTATCTAATTATGTTAGTTAAGGCGATACCGATACGTTCCCGTAATTACGCTTTATGTTAAACTGTGTCTAAAGGTCGCGATTTAATGAATTCCCGTGTCTACTGAAACGAGCCTACCGAGTTGAGCGAGTCCGGTAATTCGAGAGAAAAACGCGCGGAGATTAACATTCAATGGAGGATTGGTTAAACCGCGCGCGGACAGACAGATCGCACGTCGTGTGGCAACACGACGCAGCACGTGTAAAACCACATTTGTATGAAGTTTTGTATGAAGAGGAGGGATAATTGACCAAATACTCGATGTAAAGAACGGCAGATGATGATCAAGATAGAAATGTTTCTAAATTCATTCGGATGATCGATCGCGAATTAATGCTCTGACACAGTCACGCGTAATATTATACATGTTTGCATTTGCATATTATGTAAGTTAACGTAAGTTACGTCTTCTCAGCATGCCATATTCGCAGCTCGTATAATACTACCTCCGCGCGTAAAATGTTTCCTGCGAAGCCGCAGAGCCGAGCCAGCAGAAAAGTCCCTTTTACTATGTCGTTATGTAAGAGCGACTTTATAAAAATGTGCCCACGTCCGTTATGAAACTGGCGATAGCACACGATGAACTGGATGCGAGAAGTTGCCTTTCGTTCGTGGATATCAGTCTCACGAACAATGCCTGGACTGCGCGCGGGATTTTTATTGATCCGCATCATCGACTCTGACATAACGTTGCACGAAATCGGCAGAATCGGAGATATCGTCGTTATTTAATTTCCCCTTTAAATTTCGTCTCCACAATTTTGAGGATGGAGCGTGAACCATAACTGAATATTACGAGGTCGATCGTATTTGGGGGGGAAATGTGTTGGGAAATAAACGAAATAACTTTTCTCGAGAAACAATACACGTGTCCTCCGTAATATTGCGCCGACGTCGAAGAAACGTGCGTGTAATCGCGTTCAGATATTTCAGAAGGAAAATAAATCTCCCGAACTTGTAAATAAGAAAACAAGATGTCTGCGAAAAAAAGGACGATACAAAGCAGATAACACGCGAGAAAGTTTTGCAACAAGCTCGTAATCCAACTGATAATCTGCGAATGACGTTTAGTGTCAACAAAAAC